CAGTGTTTGTCTTTGCCCATTCAGAATAGTATTGGTATTATACTGATTCAGATTTGAAGACCTTTCACGAGGACAAGTTAAGTCTTTAGAATATATAAATATATATATGAATAAACAGCATAATGTGAGAATAATGATTGTGAAACTGTGTTTTAGCTCTGCTGGCTGCCTAGAGGTGTGTGTTCATAAATGAGAGGAGTTGTTTTTGGCTTTAATCAAAGTAGGGAGACAGGCTTAAGGTGCAATACATCTGTCATCCTCTAGATGGTGCCATCGGATGAAAAACTCTGCTACCAAAACAAGCTTCATTGACTAGAGTTATTAATTCACGTGTGAAAGGAACTGGTGTTAATCAGTGCTTTAAGCTGGTATCTAACTGGGCTGCAACTGTTAGCAGCTAGTTTGGAGACAGAATCAAAACTCTCATTTTATCACACTTGGTTGATAAGCAACTGTCATTGGGTTGTGACATTTTCACAAATTAACAACCATTAACATTTTCTAGTCAAAGTTTAGTCACCAAGTGTCTTAAATTGTTTGTAATTTATCCTTGCTCTATTTTTGTTTTTGCTTTTGCAATGTCAACATTAGCTCACAGGAGACACGGCAACCACACACTCACTGATGGTAAACAGTAGCTACGCCTCTCCTTTTGTTCTGGAAGGAGAAAAACTTACAGTCCAGCAGCTGGATATGAAATATGTTTCAGTTTAACTGTCCTTCCAAAATGACTGAAACATTAGACTCTATTGGGGTTTTCTCACTGTAAAATTCTCACTATATTCTTACATACTGCACCTTTAGTGTGTGTGTATGTGTGTGTGTGTGTGTGTGTGTGTGTGTGTGTGTGTGTGTGTACCAAGAGAAAAACTGCCTGCCAAACTAAATAAAAGTGACAACATGCAGTTCCCTGCTCATCCACTAGGGGCTGGCTCTTCCTAGCCTCGCTAGCCATGCCAGTGCTTCCTTATGGGAAGCAAATGCTCCCATTCAAACGGAGCCAATCAACAGTAAGCAGCGTACGTCACACACCGCAACGATCAGTTTCTCATAAACATCGAGGATGGAGTCTGAAACAGAATTCGCTGTGGTTCTTTCCCCCATTCTAAATGACGTGGCCATGTCTTTAAAACCACAACAAGAAGAAGCGCTAAAAGCTTTTCTCCTAAAGAAAGATGTTTGCACCATCGGCAGACATCATCTACAGCATTTCGTGATACAGTCGTAATTTCTGCCTTGTTTCTGATTGGTTATTATTGAGCTGGCTAGTCCCGCCCCTCATGGTGCTTTCTGCCTCTGAGTATCAAAACTCATCCTCTGTATAGAGGACGAACTTGGCAGTTAGCTTTAGGTAGCTCATAGCTAGATTGTACCAGTTTGATGGGTGGCAATCAACCCCCCCCCCCCCCCCCCAACTGCTCTCACCTCCATTTTTGTACTTGACGGGAGTGGTGAGACGCAGCAAGGGTGGTGGTGGGAACCGCCCACGGTGCTTCAATTCAGCTGTTCAAAAACACACGTGTGATGGCTTGGAGGGTTTGTCCATCTTATATTTACAGTCATTGGTTTATACATATAGTTACTTTGTTTGATCTGTTAGAGTTCTGAAACATTTATTTAAATTCACATGAAGGTTGCAGTTTAATGTAGTCAGAGGAGAGAAATTAAACTATACAGGCTTTTCTAGTGTGTTGATGAAAGGCTTTGCAAAATAAAATGTCCCGCTGCTATTCATTGAGGTTGATAAGTAGATAAAAACACGCGTTACTTTAGCTTTTTAGACCAGAGATGTTGTTCTTTATGTACATTTGATGGTGTTTGGACAATCTAAGGGTAGCCATTCGGTCACAGCTGCTGCAACAAAGTAACATTTTACACAATAACCTAATGGACCCTGAGGACCCTGTTTGTGTGGTTCAAATGCATGTGTGTGTGTGTGTGTGTGTGTGTGAGAGAGAGAGAGAGAGAGAGAGAGAGAGAGAGAGAGAGAGAGAGAGAGAGAGAGAGAGAGAGAGAGAGAGAGAGAGAGAGAGAGAGAGAGAGAGAGAGAGAGAGAGAGAGAGAGAGAGAGAGAGAGAGAGAGAGAGAGAGAGAGAGAGAGAGAGAGAGAGAGAGAGAGAGAGAGAGAGAGAGAGAGAGAGAGAGAGAGAGAGAGAGAGAGAGAGAGAGAGAGAGAGAGAGAGATATGAATCTTGTTGCTGTCAGCATCACCGTTGATTCCGACACCGGTTCCATCGATCGGCTCGGCCGATATTCCTCCTATGGGAGCAATTCCCTCCGCTCGTGTGTGTGTGTGCGTGTGTTTGAGAGACAGAGAAAATTAGTTTAGTTCAGGTTTGAGGGAAATATCTGATTACATTAAAAACACATGTCTCTCTATCCATCACAGACACACACACAAACACACACATACACACACTTGAGACAGTCCAATTTTCCAGCTGTCAGGAGTTGTGGGGAGGCCGATTGAAGTGGTGAGCTTGTAATTTCCCTGCAGAACCCGATCTGTGCTGTAAAGGATCATCGGGATCACACATCACTGCTGGACGTGGAAACGCCTCGACTTGTTATTAGAACAAGCAAATGTCTCATTCATTAATGGCGATCCAAATGGAGTCTGTTGTTACTGTGGAGGCCAGAGCACAGAAATAAACATCCAGCCTGCTGTTGTTGGTGGAAGAGTTTTGATTTCAGATGATTTCATGTTGATAGATGATGCAGTTCAACCTGATTTGGTTAGATCTGGAGAATAACATCATGTACATCAGTCCTGTAAGAGCTGACATGGACGGGCAACAACATTATCATCCCCTGTTTGCTCTCCAGCAGCAGGTGGTAATGATGATTCTGTTAGGCTCTGGTTGTATTTACCAGAGGTGTGACCAAGTCACTGGTTTGCAAGTCACAAGTAACCCCGGGTTTCCACGGGAGCCGTCAGCAGCACGTTACTGCAGCAGCACGTCTAGCTGCTGCTTGGCCCTTCCCATAAGACGCGACGCAGCAGGGGAGCAGCTGTCATCGACAGAGCACGAAGTCATGAGTGACTTCGTCAGTAAACGCAACAACAAGCAGGAGAAAATTACAACATGGTTTGTGTTTTATGTTCTGTCCGTTTTATAATCGCCAATACGGACCTGAAAAACAAAGGAGACCGCTAGCTAGGTGATAACTTCTCACGGGGACGCACAGTTAGTAACCTTTTTTAAAAGTAAAGCAACCGGAAAGCAGTACGCTCTTTATTCTGAAAATTTCGGTAGCTTCTCTCCATTTCCGCGTCCGATTTCCTGTCTTTCCTTCCCCAAAAATGTCGAACTTGACCCGTTTCAGAGGCATCGCGCGTAAAAAATAGAACCGGCGCGTAAAGGCCGCGACTTGCTGCTCCTGAGACGCGGCCGACTCGCGCTGCTGACGGCTCCAGTGGAAAAGGTTCTGTTGACCACAGCGGTTCCTATCAGCAGCTATGACGAGCTGCTGCAGTAACGTGCTGCTGACGGCTCCCGTGGAAACCCCGGGTTTCCACGGGAGCCGTCAGCAGCACGTTACTGCAGCAGCACGTCTTGCTCGCGTAAGCTGCTGCTTGGCCCTTCCCACGAGACGCGAATCAGCAGGGGAGCAGCTGTCACCGACCGAGCACGAAGTCACACGAGTGACTTCGTCAGTAAACACAACAACATGCAGGAGAAAACTACAACATGGCTCCAAAATGTTTGTGTTTTTATGTTCTGTCCATTTTATAATCGCCAATACGGACCTGAAAAACAAAGGAGACCGCTAGCTAGGTGATAACTTCTCACGGGGCCGCACAGTTAGTAACCTTTTTTAAAGTAAAGCAACCGGAAGGCAGTACGTTCTTTATTCTGAAAATCTCGGGAGCTTCTCTCCATTTCCGCGTCCGATTTCCTGTCTTTCCTTCCCCAAAAATGTCGAACTTGACCCGTTTCAGAGGCGTCGCGCGTAGGAAATAGAACCGGCGCGTAAAGGCCGCGACATGCTGCTCCTGAGACGCGGCCGACTCGCGCTGCTGACGGCTGCCGACGGCTCCAGTGGAAAAGGTTCTGTTGACCACAGCGGTTCCTATCAGCAGCTATGACGTGCTGCTGCAGTAACGTGCTGCTGACGGCTGCTGTGGAAAGCCGGGGTAAGCCGGGGTTAGTCACAAGTCTTTCCAGTCAAGTCTCGAGTCAAGTCCAAAGTCAATGGTGTGGAAGTCCAAGTCAAGTCCAAGTCCATAACTTTGAATTTTCAAGTCATAATCAAGTCATCTGTCAAACTTCAATTTAATGACAATGTTAATAAATAAATTCCAGAACTAAAGCTTCTTAAAGCTTCATTTATTTGCTCAAAAGCAGAAAGTGCAACTGAAACTGATTATAAACAAAGTGCTGCTGCATTCAGCAGTACAAGATCAAACCCAGAACAAGGAATGAGTTATGACTTGTGTCCATGTCGTGCCACTTTTGTGCTAAAATATCAAATAAGCTCAAGTCATCATCAAGGCAACAGATGCAAGTCCATTCAAGTCGCAAATCATTGGCGTTCAAGTCTGAGTCAAGTCGTAAGTCTTTATAGATTTTATCAAGTCAAGTCAGAAGTTATTAAAATAATGACTCGAGTCCAAGTCACGTGACTCGAGTCGACACCTCTGGTATTTACTACACAGTCCTATTGTTGAAACAGGTTATTGGAATTGATCCACATCTTTATTCTTTGTGGGTATTTTTGGGGACCATCAACTTGCAGCTGCTGTTCAGCAACTGTGAAGTAACTAGCAGTAACACAAGTATTCAGCAAAACTCACAATAATGCGGCTTTTAATGTTTTCATTTCACTGCAGCAAAATAAATGTGATCATTTTGATGAATTCCGAGAGTTTAGCTGATTTAGATTTGGTGGAGGAAACTGGTCCCCCTGAGTCGACACCTCCTGAGTCCTTCACCTTCTACAGGTTTGTGTTTCCTTGGCAGCTGTTGAATATTTTCATTTTTCTTTGCTTGTCTCAGGCGGTGATGGAGTTCCGCCACCCGGACGGCCGTGTTGTTGCCGTGGTGCTGCCGAGTCGGAGCCTGCTGGTGATGAAGGGAGAGAGCAGATACCTTTGGACTCACGGGTGAGCTGGACTGCATCAGACTGCTTTTATTTTAATACATAGGTTTTGATTGTAGTGAGTTTTTCTTCTATTTAAATGCAAATTGTGAACCTGGTCCCCTCTGCTGGTTTGGGGGCTCAGGGTGGTTGTTTTCAGTTTCTGTGTGACTGACTGCTCTAACAACTTCTCATTTTCTATCAGGATAACTCCGCGGAAGTTCGACCTGGTGCCGGCGTGTGAGTCGCAGTCTGCCGCTCTGGCTTCTCCTGACGTGAGGACCCAGAGCGGTCTCACTTTGAGCAAAAGGGGCACGCGCACTTCTTTCACTTTCCGCAAGATCAGACATGAACGCTGCCGCTGTGGTGAGAGCGCTGCTCAGACTGTGTTACTGAAAAGCATTAAGTTAATTTCTTATGAAGCAGTTCTTTACCATATCACTGTCGGTGTGAGGGCAGCTTCAGATGCTATGATTCTTACTTATATGCAAAAAGTTGTGTCAAGTTTTAAAAATAGTAAAGCTGCTAAAGATCTTATTTCCTGCCCTGATGTCGCCACCTCTAGCCTTCCCTTCTGCCTGCGACAGTCAGAGAACAACCTCACCCTCTCCAGCATCTCCCCCGTCACTTCCCTGTTGTCGTGCCGACGCAGCCCTTTTGGAGGAGGAGTATGTGCACCGGGTGTACGACGCCATAGCCTCCCACTTCAGCAGCACCCGCCACTCTCCCTGGCCTCACGTTTGCCAATTCCTGAATTTGCTGGCACCCGGGAGTGTGCTGGCCGACGTGGGCTGTGGAAACGGGAAGTACCTGGGCGTGAACCCTGAGCTGGTCGCAGTGAGTGTCTGAGATACCCCAGTGACCGGTAGTTTCACCAGAATGTTCATTTAAATGTTGGGATTTGTTTTTTCTGAGCAAACGAGTGGAAGGAAAAGATGTATCCAGAGCTGCAGCTTAGCTCGTCATAAATAAAATATTAGTTGGGGCGCTCCAGAGTCGTGTAATGCTTGCATCATTTCACACTTGTGCATGGTTGTGTTCCACGTGAGTCAGACGGTAGCTGCTCTGGAGCCACAGAACAAAAACAAAACGGATCAGTTTGTCAGTAGCGAGTGAGACCGATGTTCTCCTGCTGTATGTCATTGTTTGCATTAGCTTTGTTTCCATGGTAATATCCTAATTTTCTGATTACGTATGCACACGGTGATGTTCACGTTTGGGATTTTGGAGAAGCGTGTAAGCAGCTTATCCTGACTCAGACCGTCCCTGTTATAAATCATCCCCCCCCTCCAGTCTCCTCTTCACCTTTGTTCCTATTTTTCTGCTCTTTAATCCTCTTCATGCTCTGGATCCCGTCCCCACACCTCCTCTGCAATTTAATTCTCTTAACACTTCCAGGTTTAATTAAAATTTAAATGTGTGTTGAAAATAACTTCAGGAAGACATCCTATAAAGCTTAACTCGTATTTATTCTTCCTCTCCAACCATCCATGTTTTAGCCAGACACATTTTGATGCTCAGCATCCATCTGCTGACCGTGTGTTTGTGTGATCTCAGGTGGGATGTGATCGCAGCGGCGCTCTTGTCCAGATCTGTGCAGACAGGGGCTTCCATGCATTTGTATCGGATGCTCTCAGCGTCCCCCTCCGAACAGCCTCCTGTGACGCTTGCATCTCTATAGCAGTCATACACCATTTCTCCACCCAGGTATGCACAATACATAAAACATCTCATGAGCCTCTGGATGGATTTTAAATGAAGTCTAAAAAAGTATTTATTAAAGGTGTGGTTGACTGGAAAACCTTTTTTAAATGATAAGTTTTAAAAATATAATCAGTTACTCTAATGCAGACTGACCATTAAAATAGTCTCCTACACCTATCTCTTGCATTACCTTCTGATAAGAAAATAGACGGTGAAACTCTGGCGTTTGAAAAACCTGACAGATCTACGTCACACCGTCGCTCAACATTCATGTACTTAACCATATTGACTCATGATGGCAACGCTGTTGTTGTTTTAGCATCCAAAATCAGCAGAGAACATTTCTTTCAAAAGAAGCTAACTGCTAGCATTATCAACTCAAACACACAGCTGAAGCTCCTCCAGGCTTGTTATTTGTGGAGATAAAACATCCATGTCCCAGAGCAACCAGAGTTAGTGGTAGAGTCGCCTTGCTTTTATCCAATCCGAGGCAAGATGTCTAAATATCAGGAAATAAGACTTCAAAATCCTCCAATCAAAATCCTCCAATCAAAATCCTCTCGTTTGAAGTACAGCTCTGATGTTGCACACTGGTCCTGCTGGACCAGGGCTTTGTGGGCTTATGTGTGCCCTGAGCTTTACCTGCAAGGCATTCATTCCTGCTAGAGACCATTGCAGATGTATGTGTAAAACTAGTAATCCACACCTTTAACCGATATCATCAATAAGAGGATTTAAACTTCGTTAGTCTGTTTGTGAACGCTGTCAAAAGGCTAAAAACAATAAAGTCGTATTATGATTTCACTTGCAAAATGGAACAAATAACTTTTGTTGTTTAAATAGTTTAATAAGTCAGAATTGTGTCCCGTTTCTGCCTTCTGCAGCTTTCTAGAGCAGTGGTTCCCAAACTTGTTTAGCCGCGCACCCCCTTCTATGTCCCGACCATGTCGACGCACCCCCCCACATCGGGGCATGGCTCTATATATATATATATATATATATATATATATATATATATATATATATATATATATATATGTATATAATCAGATGTCAAGCTAAACAGACAGCATTAAAAAAATTCCCCATCACTTTCATTTTTTAAATAGTAAATAATAAACATTTGACACCATTACAATTTCCTTTGATTTCATTTTAAATAAATATCTAGAGTGCCCAGGTAGCACATAAACAATGCAATTTAACGGTTTTCTTAAAGTAGGAATGTTTAACCTGTGCGGCCAGAGCGCTCTCCTTCCTTCTGCTCTGCATAAACCTGAGCTGATCACCTACTTGTGCGTAATCAAATGTCAATAGGGGACAAGATATAGCCGTGATGTTCACTTTTACCTCAGACCGACTTATTGCTGTTTTATGGTGTGGCTGAATCTGCGATCCGCTGCCACGCAGACTGGAATCACAAATGCTGCAGTAACAGGACTTCTGGTCAGGTTCTTGAGGAGTCACTGGCTGTAGCGGATCCGACTCATCCCAGAAGCTAATATCTTTATTTGACCTTGAATGAAAAATAACCTCTTAAAAGTTTTTATCGTGGTGGAGGCAGCGTTCATTTCTGCCTTCAGTCTGACTGCGCGCCAGAGTTAAAGCAGCGTGCGTGCTTATTGAATCTGTGTGTGTGCGTGCGCGGCACAGCCGCTCAAGTCACCGCGTCTCGTTATTGGCGCTATTTAAACTTCTGCCCAGCCCAGATGTGCTCACATGTGCACCCGTGAGCCGTGGTTCCGCTGGAACGCGTCTGACCTCTGACAGACACACTCTGAACTTCAGATCTTCAGCGCGCTGTTAATAGCCTGAATGGGAATCATCTCTTGTTATTTTGTTACATCCACAATGTTCTGTATGTGAGGTTTACAACGTCAGAACACCTGCATGAGACAGGTGTTAATCTGCCAGAATGACTCACCACCTTCAGATTTCTCCAACACCGTTAAAAATGATCAAATACGGAACATATCGGCGTGTGCAGGCCAGAGTGCTGAAGCTCGGCGCATTGTTATTATGAAGCTAGGGCACATGTGGAGGACACGCGCGCAAAAATATACTTGTTTTCAATGACATTTATTGGGCCCACTTACTTTTTCTTTGGCCCACCCACAAATGAGTTTCTACAATAATGGTGACATATGACAGATTTCTCTGAGCTCCGCAGCCATTACACTTTTCACCTCGCGCACCCCCTAGCTGCAGCTCGCGCACCCCCTAGCGGCAGCTCGCGCACCCCCAGGGGGTGCGCGCATCACACTTTGGGAATCCCTGTTCTAGAGTGTCCTCAGATGCTTTCCACACTGAAACAATAAAAGGATCAGTGAAAAACATCAGATTATACTGTTATAATGCAAATATGGAAATGCTTTCAGCATAGCATGAACATCACACGTCTCTTTGATTTCTGGAAGCTTGACTGACAGATTTAACTTTGTTCTTGACTGAAAATAACAGCAGCTCTCAAATTAGCTCTTCCAAACAGCAGATGTTTATTTATATTTAAATGTCTCAAGTTCAAGACTCCAGATCCATTGCCACATTGCAGTTCCTTTTTACTCAAACATTGAAAAAGCAGCAGACATGTTTTAGGTTATTCTGTGGCACTATTTCTGGAGTTTGGAGCTCTGTGGCCTCTGAGATAATCTTTGTGTTGCAGGAGCGTCGGCTGGCAGCGGTGAGGGAGCTCGTTAGGCTCCTTAAGCCTGGAGGTCAGGCGCTCGTGTATGTTTGGGCTTTTGAACAAGAATACAACAAACAGAAATCCAAATACCTGAAAGACCACAACAGAGACAGCAGCCCCACGCAGAATTCATCTAAGAAGACCCAGGAACCCCACGGAGAACCGGACACTCAAAGGCACAGCTACTACCCCGCTGAAGACAAGCTTAGTGTTCACACCAACCGCACAGCCTTTAATTCACAGGACCTTTTGGTTCCCTGGCACCTAAAAGAAGGGAACAAGCAAGATGGGAAAGATTCATCCTGCAGGTTAAGTTCCAGGACCGACCCACGTCCTGGTTGTGACTCCAGTAGGGAAGCCACACACAACCCAGACTCTAAACCATGCAGTGACACATCTGGTTGTAGCTCTGCACCCGTTTTTCACCGCTACTATCACGTCTTCCAGCAAGGAGAGCTGGAGCAGCTGTGTTCTCAGGTAGCTGGAGTCAAAGTGAAGAGCAGCTACCACGACCAGGGAAACTGGTGTGTGGTGTTGGAGAAGGACCCATCATTACAAATGATTTAAAGTCCAATAAACACATTTTAAAATGCAGACTTGGCCAATTAAATAATTACTAAGTTAAATGAGTTGCTGTGTTTGAAGAAGCTCTAATTGTAGTGATATAAATTTGAAGATCTCTTAATCCATCAGAGCAATAGTTACGCTTCTGAATTGGCACTTTGGTCATCTTGTTACTGTTTCAGTACATCTAGGGGTGCATCAGTTGCTTAAAATATGGACCGGAAATAAAAAATTGATCTTGGATATGACAAAACAATTTCTTGTGCCTTTATTTTGCATTTCCCTAGCAGTCATTACTTGATGTGACTGTGGATTTGGGGAACATCTTTAATATATGTAATTGCATTCTAAATATAATAACCAGAATGTATGATTCGTACCTAGTGACAGATCTGATTGCATTCACATACCTTCAGTTTTTTTATTTTTACACAGTGGTACATGGCCTGTATTTGTATAGCACCTTCTTAGGGTTCTACAACCCCCTAAGGCGCTTTACAACATCGTGATGAGCTACAGTGTAGCCACAGCTGCCCTGGGGTACACTAACAGGCAAGACCTGCTGAACACTGGTGCTGCTGGTTCATCTGACCACCACCAGCAGGAAAAGTGGGTTAAGTGTCTTGCCCAAGGACAAAACAGCAGCATTCTCTGGTTGAAGCTGGGATCGAACCTGCAGTCTTCGGATTGCCGGACAACTCCCTCTACCTCCTGAGCTACTGCTGTCCCAATGTTTCAGTTCAGCACATAGACATCACATCAAAGTCAAATAGAGGAGAATAAGTATTTGACACATCAGCATTTTTATCAGTAATGGTTTTTCTAAGTGGGCTATTGACACAAACTTTCCACCACATGTCAACATCACCTCAAGTATTTAATTCATGCAAAGACATCTAAACATTTAAGTCAATTAATTGATTTATGTGTAATAAAGTGAAAAGACACAGGCAAAATGTATTAAACACAATGTGCCAAATGCCCAGTGTGGATTATAGCAGGTTGTAATCACTTATGAACACAATTTTACAGCTGCATGTTATCTTTTTTTGCTAAGCAGCTTTACACACATACACACACACACACACACACACACACACACACACACTAAATAAAGAAAATCTCACTCCAAGACTTTTTTTTAACAGAGGTGACCGTTAAATTTTTTTAGAACATTATATATATATATATATATATATATATATATATATATATAGAGAGAGAGAGAGAGAGAGAGAGAGAGAGAGAGAGATAGATAGATAGATAGATAGATAGATATATTAGTTGTGTTTATAATATTTTATAAGTAAATATATTATTTAAGTTCTATAAGAAAATATATATATTTTTTTTCATATTATTTAAATTGATGCGCCTGTCCTTGGTCCTTTTGCACTATGAGCCACAAGTCCTCAGTTGACGTAAACTGCGTTGCTTTACGACAGTTGACAAAACATTCACGACGGTGTCATGGCGACGTATGGTGTTAGTTTTGAGAGTTCGAGCAGCATCGACGAAAAGAAAGAGAAAAAGAGGCAGTCGCGAGAAGAGGTGCTAGAAAAGGTACGCGTTTGCTTTGGAAAAGCAAGATTCACGTGTAACAAAAGGCTATTTCGTTGTGTTAGTTACGGTTTAAATCGTACCCCGAGTTTCTGAGTATAAGCTAACACGCTAAGAAGGCTAACAGCTAGCATTTTAACGTTTGGGTACATCATATCTGTATATCATTCTGCTGATGTGTACTACCTTGAAGATGTATCCGGACAGGAAATTACGAGTCAAACACTGACTCGGACAGATAGCAGAGCTGCCTTTAATTTGTGTTGTATTTGTCTCAGTTATTTACCATGCCCAGTGAGTGTTTGGATTAGAGCAGGTTGTCAGCACTTATGTACACAATTTTACAGTTGCATGTTATCTGTTTCTGCTAAGCAGCTACACACACACACACACACACACACACACACACACACACACACACACACACACACACACACACACACACACACACACACTATCTATTTAGCTCACCTGTGTCTGAATTGACCAAAGTCATAATGGTGGCTGGATCTGATTTATGAAGCTAAGTTTTAAAGAGGAAATGGCTCAGTGTGGTTTAGGAGCTCAGTGTTGTCAACTTGTCTTTTCAAACGATCTTCTCCTTTACACCTCACCTTTTAGAGTAGAGGAGGTAGATGTCAACAAAATAGAAACTGCTTAACTGAATCTTTGTTTTCTTGGTTTACATGTTTTATCATTAATGTCAGACCAGCAGATCTTCCAGAAATACATTTTTACATCTCTGGGAATGTGGAGGAGAAAATGAGAAGGGAGACATAAATTGGACACGTAAATTGGTCCTCTGATGCAATCTAAATGTATGTGTAATAGTAATATTTTGTTTCTGTTCATATTTCTATGCGGGCCAACAGGCAAAGCAGCAATATGAGAAGGAGGAGAGGAGGAAGGAGCTGAAGAGGCTGAGAGGAGAAGATACTTGGATTCTCCCTGAAGTCAACCAGAGGCTGCAGCAGATAGAGGAGGTAAGTAGGGGTGGGTGCAATTAATCGATGTGGCGATGCATCTAAAAGCTTAACATGTTGTTTCGGCATCGATTAATGAACGTCAATGCTTAAAAAAACATAACATCAAAGTTTTGTTGCGAAGCCGGTACTTAAAAAAAAAAACGTAACCGGAGCCTTAACGCGCGCCGCCCGGACTGTTTAGTGAGTGGCACTAACTCTTTGACCTCTTTCTCCATCTTGGAGACTGTCTCCAAACTACCGAAGAACTCAGAGAAGGCGAGGAGCATTACAAAAGCAATAGCTACTGTAATCGCGACGGATCTACACCCGTATTCAGCAGTAAACAACAGGGGGTTTCGGTTAGTGGTGCGCACCATGGAGCCGCGCTACAAACTTCCTCACCAAAAACACTTTGCAGAAAAAGAAGCCCCCCACCTCTACAAGGAAACCAAAGCAAGCGTTCTGGAGTCCATGAAGAAGGCAACCGGGATAGCGCTCACATGCGATGCGTGGACATCGGTTGCCACCAAATCCTTCGTTACTGTAACGGCGCATTTTGTTCTTGCGTCGGACAAGAACGGGTGGAAGTTGGTGAGTCACGTTCTTCAAACTCGAGAGATGAGTGAGAGTCAAAGTAGCACAATGTTGACATTTGCCCATCTCACACAACAGGAGGATGTAGGGGAACAAGAGGGAGGAGAGGGAGTATGAGTGTCACTCTGCTCTATTTTATGTTGTTTATGTTGTTTATGTTGTTTATGTGCTTAGCAGACGCTTTTACCCAAAGCGACTTACAATTTATTTTTTTTAACCTATAGGGCATGTTGTGATTTTGTTGTGTTCGCCTCACTGTACTGAAGCTCCAGGCTGAATATATGTTCAGTTGAATTATGCACTTTTGTTCTGAAAAAATACAACATATTACCTTCAAATATAGCAGGTTTTTTCTGTTACCTATATTCCAGACTGAATAAGCTGAATTTATTTATTTGATCTGTATGGCAGCTTTTTTTGTAATGTTATCATATGCCAGACTCATAAGTTTCCATTAAATAAATTTGATGGAAGTAAAAATCTTGTTTACTTGAATTAATTACCTCATTAAATCCAGGGCTTGCCTGTTTTCAGTGTTTCCCAACAATGGAGGGGACACTAGTGTAAGTAAAGCTTTCCCTGATCGAAGTTAAGTTGGTCAAAGTGCAAATATTTACACGTCATACAGTCATAAAATAAGAATTTGTCTTTGAAAAATAGTTAAATGTTAAAAAAATGTATTTACTTACAGAGAGTAGTTTTAGAGGAACTGAATTAATTGATAGGTTAATTATTTACAAATGTAGATAAAGAAGAAGACAATCTTGTATGAAAAAAGCATTAAAAATGTCAATAATCGAAGAATCGTGGCACCAGTAATCGAATCGAACCAAAAATCATTATAATCGAAGCATCGAAGCTCCCATAATCTAAATCGAATCGAACGGTGAAGTACCCTTTTTGGAACACCCCCAGAGGTAAATGTCACATTGCTTTTAATTCAACAATGAAAAGCATCGCTATTGCTGTGCATGGAAAAAACACAACTTCTTGTTTCCAAAAGATGGTTACTTCCCTATCATTGCAAATGACAACTAATTAGGAATGCACTGAACACAGTCAGCAACATAAAAATAAGTTAATGTTAGTAATCCAATGTACCAACATCACTCAACAGGAGGGATCTGGAAAGAGCAAAAAGAAGAAAGAGAAGAAATCTAAGAAGAAAAAGAAGAAAGCCAAGAAGGAGAAGGTGGCAGAAGTAGGAAAGGGCTCAAGTGACAGTTCACAGGTAGACTGTTCCCAATTTCACTTTCACATTTAAACAAGGGCTGGTCAGTGAGTACACCTACACCTGAAGAAATGTAATAATTAGTCTAATTAGTATAGATTTTTTTTCTTTTTTTTAGCCAGCTTTTCACGTTGCAATTTACAGAATTTCTTAAATGTTAAGTCAAAATTTTTGACTGAGCATCGGAGACTGGTGGCTCTTTCTGACATGAATTTTGTTCTGCATTAGGAGTCAGAAGAGGAGTGGGTTGAGGCTCAGCCTCAGAAACGGTCTAAACCCTGGCAAGTTACCGAGCCGTCCAAGACTTCAGAAAGCAGCTCCAGCCCAGCCCAGAATGTTCAGGTGAGTTTAGTTCTGTGCCCCACAAACTCTAAACCCCCTCACAGTGTGGTGAGTTGTCTGGTCTAAATCAGCACACATGGAACCATTTTCCTATTGTTTTCATAGTTTGCAGATCTGCAATTGTTCAAGCCTGCTTCTCCTTGAATGTTTGTCTCTGTTGTAGAGAGACGAATGGATGACTTTTGATTTCCTGGCCATGAGAACCACGTCCACTGCAGAGAGACGAGCTGAGAAAGACCAGCAGAAAGAGGCAGAGAGAGCCAAGGCCCAGGCTATTGAACAGGTGTGTGTGTGTGTGTGTGTGTGTGTGTGTGTGTGTGTGTGTGTGAGAGAGAGAGAGAGTTTAACATACACTACTTTATAGAAACAATGAGAAGAGGAATGATTAAGTTTTTGAGCAGATTAATTTAATAAAATATGATAAAAAGCTGTTGTGGACAGCCCTGCCCTCCGGCTGGTTTAATTTTTCTCCATGTCTTCCAGATGTTTTGTGTTGTTGATCAGATTTATTAAGGATGTGGTTTTCACAGGCTGGTCTGCACAAACTGGAGCTTAACCCTTACTGGAAAGATGGAGGAACTGGTTTGCCTCCAGAGGAGAATGTTCAAACTGCGGTTAAAAAAGGTAAAAAAAAATCATTAATCACAACAAGCATTTATGAATATAAAGGAAAACGTAGGGCTTTCATTTCTTTTTAAACCATTTTATTTATTTCAGAGATTTTATTTGATCATTTTTCAAAAGGCTAATCTTATAAGCTCCTGGCAGAGTCTCCTGTCAGAAGGAGCTTCAAATCCCACCTCCGACAGAACTTCCAAAACGTTCAGGGGGAGGCGGGGGCCATTGAGTCTGATTGGACCCTGTTCCGTGCCTCCATTGTTGAGGCGGCCGACCGGAACTGTGGTCACAGGATCGTCGGTGCCTGTCGTGGTGGCAACCCCCAAACCCACTGGTGGACACCGGCGGTTAGGGATTCTGTCAAGCTGAAGAAAGAGTCCTATCAGGTCTTCTTGGCCTGTGGGACTCCAGAGGCAGCTGACGGGTACCGGCAGTCCAAGCGGAATGCGGCTCGGGTGGTCGCCAAGGCAAAAACCCGGGCATGGGAGGAGTTCGGTGAGGCCATGGAGCAAGACTTCCGTACGGCTTTGAGGAGATTCTGTTCCACCATCCGGCGCCTCAGGGGGGGAAAGCAGTGCGCTACCAACACTATCCATAGTGGGGACGGTGTGCTGCTGACCTCTACTCAGGACATTGTGGATCGGTGGGCAGAATACTTCGAAGACCTCCTCAATCCCACCGACACGTCTTCCAGTGAGGAAGCAGAGTCTGGGGACTTTGGGTTGGCCTCAAATCTCTGGTGCTGAGGTCACGGAGGTGGTTAAAAAGTTCCTGTGTGGCAAGACTCCAGGGGTGGATGAGATCTGCCCGGAGTTCCTTAAGGCTCTGGGTGTTGTGGGGCTGTGTTGGCTGACGCGGCTCCGCAATATCGCGTGGACATCGGGGGCAGGGTGTGTTCCAACTACAGGGGGATCACACTCCTGAGCCTCCCTGGTAAGGTCTATTCAGGGGTTCTGGAGAGGAGGGTCCGTCGGATTGTTGAACCTCAGATTCAGGAGGAGCAATGAGGTTTTCGTCCTGGCCGTGGAACACTGGACCAGCTCTAAACCCTTGGAGGATATGTGGGAATTTCACCAACCAGTCTATATGTGTTTTTGGATTTGGAGAAGGCGTTTGACCGCGTCTCTCAGGGGGTCCTGTGGGGGGTACTCTGGGAGTATGATGTACCAGGCCCTCTGATACGGGCTGTTAGGTCCCTGTATGACCGGTGTAGAGCTTGGTCCGCATTGCCGGCAGTAAGTCGGGCTCGTTCCTAGTGAGAGTTGGACTCCGCCAAGGCTGCCCTTTGTCACCAATTCTGTTCATAACCTTTATGGACAGGATTTGTAGGCGCAGCCAAGGTTTAGAGGGCATCCGTTTTGGTGACCTGAGGATCAGGTCTCTGCTTTTTGCAGATGATGTGGTCCTGTTGGCTTCATCAGAACGTGATCTTCAGCTTTCGCTGCAGCAGTTCGCAGCTGAGTGTGAAGCAGCTGGGATGAGAATCAGCTCCTCTAAATCTGAGACCATGGTCTTGATTCAGAAACGGGTAGAATGTCTTCTCCGGGTCAGGGATGAGGTCCTGCCCCAAGTGGAGGAGTTTAAGTATCTCAGGGTCTTGTTCACGAGTGAGGGAAAACTGGAGCATGAGATCGATAGGTGGATTGGTGCTGCATCTGCAGTGATGTGGGTGTTGTACCGGTCTGTCATGGTGAAGAGAGAGCTGAGTCAGAAGGCGAAGCTTTCGATTTACCGGTCGATCTACGTTCCTACCCTCACCTATGGTCATGAGCTTTGGGTAGTGACTGAAAGAAGATCGCAGATACAAGCGGCAGAAATGAGTTTTCTCCGAAGAGTGGCTGGGGAGAGGGAAGTCTGGGCCTCTCGCCTTAGGCTACTGCCTCCGCGACCCGACTTCGGATAAGCGGATGAAAATGGATGGATGGTTGGATAATCTTATAAGCTCCTACAGTATTTTACTTTATTTACCTTGTGGCCCAAAGTGAGATAAAATACAACAAACAGGTGTGTTTTTCGTGTCATTTGCACTTTGGTTGTTGCATTTAGTTTCTAGGTGTTGGTGATTATCCGCTAAACATCTTTAAGGTTAAACCTGTGTGGATATGAAGATACTTTTAAAAAATATTCACTCGTCTTTGACCACGAAGGTTTTGGTAAAGACGTTTGTCAAGTTTTATCATGATTCTGTCCTTTTGCTTAAAAAATTAAATTATCGGACCTAGATTTTTTTATTTTTTTGCGTCCTACTCGTGTCTTAACCTGGATTTTATTTTTCCTTTGCCTTTTTCACCCGGGTTAAGCTTGTCCTTTTGGGTAATATGTCCAGGATTTGATGGCTTTGATGTCACCTAATTTCTCTGCTTTCTTAAATAACAACATATTCAGTTTATTCATTAACTGGAAAAATTAAGAACTTGCTAATGTGATGTATTTATTACTCCTATGTTTTATTTAAGTTCTAACATTATGCGGGTTTTAACCTCTTCTCTTCACTTTCAGTTAAATATTTAGCTGTTGGAAAGCATCCAGTGGCTTAAGTCCTCCCCCTGTTGCGAAATAGAAGAGGATATATTGTTTATTCATTGTTTCTGTGTGATATGTATATATTTTTTAATTTGTGGGTTCTTGCAGGTCCTGTAGTGAATGATGGTGGTCTGAGCTGGCTGAGAAAGAACTATCAGAGGATGAAAGAGCAGGCTGAGAGAGAACAACGCAGTCTGAGTGATGTTGTAGCTGAGAGATACGGGGTGAGAACTCATCCAGCCTTCGCTCAGTTTAGTACATGGTGCAACAGCCACCTTAAGATGAACGTAAACTAGTGAAATTTGGAAAGTGATTGAAGAAAATTGGCACTTTTGTGTCTAAAAAAGTGAAAGATGAGCTGGATTTTTTGTATTTTGGGTTTCTACCACTAAACCTTCATCATGTCTCCTGTTTTCTGTTTTACAGTCAATGGAGGAATTTCAGAAGAGACTTGCTGAAGCTGAGGAAGCCGTTTATGGTCGGAGTAGAGGAGGCAGAGAGTGTTCAGGGAGAGATGGATGGAGGAAAGGAGAGGAAGAGGGTCGGGAGCGATGGAGGAGAAAAGAAGAAGATAGACGGTGGAGAAAAGAGGAAAGAGAGTTGTCACCCCGAGATGACAAGCAGCGCTGTGGTGGGAGGGGAGTGGAGAAGGAGAGGGAAAGAGACGGGGATAGGGAAAAGGGCAGAGACAGGGATATAGAAAGGGAGAGGAGTGGAAGAAAAGACAGGAACAGGGAGAAAGAAAGGGATAGATACAGGGATAAAGATAAGTTGACTGCATCATCATCATCATCATCTGGACAGAGCTGGAGTCAGCGTTCCCTCTCTCTTGGTTCTCTAAAAGGCCGCTTCCTCAAACCCTCAGATGAAGAAGACAGAGCTGAAGGTGAGTTCAGATACCTTTAGATCTTTTTATTAGTTAAATAAACACAACTTTAAGTTTATTTGGATGGTTTTTAGATTTAATGTTTATAAGAAGCAATAGGTAAATACACCTGATCAGTTTTAAATGATGGATGTGTGTGTGTGTGTGTGTGTGTGTGTGTGTGTGTGTGTAGGCCCTCAGCGTCCCCCCCCAGCACAGTCATCCACAGGATTTCTGAAGCCCAGTTCAGATGACGAAGGCTCCGCCCAAAAGTCCTGGAAGAAAAGCAGCACTTCTGTTCTTGAAACCAACAGGCTGGGAGAAAAGCCGAAGGAAAGCCAGAAACATCCAGAGAATCCAGTAACTGCTGCTCAACTCATTGCACCATCCAGGTGTGAAACTTTTTGTTTTGTTGCCATGAAAACACGCCTTCCTAACCAAATATGTCAAAGATGGTTCTGATTTGATTTGGTAATGAGGTCCATTAAAAACCTCAGTGACTCCTACTGAAGCGAGCGTGCACTTTAGTGGTTCCGTTAGAATACGCTGCTTTTTCAGGGAGGTTGAGGCCGCGGTGAGTTTTATTGTACAGACCCTGGTTTGGACTCCCTATTTAGAACTCATTTTCTATTTTAGGGTGGAATGGAGATTGCCGTACTTGTTTTCCTGTGACAACACACTTTCCTTTTTAATTTCCCGTTATTTAATGGTTTTAAATACTAGGGCGAAAGTATACTGGAGGCCAGCACAGTTAACTATTATCTGGGTCCTATCAGGATTAATTTGCGCCTCTGTCAGCATATGTGGGCGGTGGTAACTAGAAAATGATTCCTGTTAGTTGATCAGGCTAACATGGATTTATCAATTAATCTAATTAATCCACCCTTTGAAATGGTTCCTTCCCACGCTAAACAGAGACTTTTTCACACGTGCAGAACAGAGCCTGTTTGAACCAACGAACCATTATGGTTTATAACCCTTAGGATGTCCCGCTACAATAGGGATTAGGAGAGACTAAGCTCCCATTACCTAAGGTATCTTTTCTTAATCTGTCACAACCTGAAACAAGTCCTGGAGTACAGGTACAAGCAAAAAGGTGGCTTACCTTTGCTACCAGATCTGGTCGGGGCTCCCACTCAAAGGCTAAAAGAGTCCTTTAAAAATCGAAAACGAGGATTCTTTTTCCAAAAAATTTATTTCAAAATTAAAAAATACAAAAAGAGTAAATCTAAAGTTAAAAAATCCCCTTAGGAGGATGCTGCTTCTAAGTCTCTCTCTGAGAACACCTGCTCTCACCCACACTACTCCTGTCTAACTCTGTAACAGCAACAACTGTCAACTGACCAACTCTAACTCTCTAAATCTCTTTATATCTTATTCTGAAAACTGCAAAGCAAAACATTTTCCATAGTGAAGCAATATATCAACCAGTCACGAGTAGGGATGCACCGATGGATCGGCATTTGATCCCAATTGGCCGATAGCGCCCCTATCGGTTTTGATCGGAGTTTTCAAAATAGATCAAAGCAGACCGATCAGGTAGGGTTGTCACGGTAACCGGTGTAGCAGTAAACCCCGGTAAAAAAAAGTTGACAATAATAATAACCGTCTTGTTTTAAAAAAAAAAATTATCTCGGTGGGTTTACCTTGGCTGCGGTGTAGGCGCGGTGACCCTTACCAGCCACCGTATCATCTGCTGAAGTTGCCGGCGGCACATGCACGCTTTGTTGTTTACAACCAAAACTTTCTTGAAGCTAAAGCTGAACTAATGGCCAAAGGAGGAGACGGCAGCACTCAGGAGGACATTTTTTATCCCTCAAAGAAGACAAAGTCGGAAGTACGGGCATCTTTTGGATATTTGAAGAATGTCGAGGGAGTTTATAGAAGATGGACGGCTATCCTGTTTGCAGCACGTGCAGAAAAAGTGTCTGTGAAAGGCAGCAATGCTTCAAATCTCATGACACATCTGCATGACCATCACCCACAACTCTACAGTCAACGCAAGGCAAGCTAACGTTAACGTTTTAGCTAAAATGCGTGATCCGAGGATTTGGGTTGAGGGAGAATGCAACGAGTCGCTATAAAGCAGCCGCAGCGCCGCTACCTGCATATAAACCGTGTCGTGGACACCCCCATGTTGAAATGACGCTATGCATTACGGGGCTCCCAGGGGCAGATAAGAGTTGGTCTCTCTCCGAGGATAATTATGAATTTAACAATGATTACTGCCTGATGACATTTTCCCAAATCTGCAAAGCTCACTGGAAGGACACAAACCGAGGACAATATTTTCCTGATATAGGGTTTATTACTCAAGTAAGGGTAAAAAAGTATCTGATTAGAAGGCTACTTGAGTACTGAGTATCATCTGATCTAATATTTTTAAATGATGACATCAAACAGACACAAAATAAGAAGTTATGGGCAAATATTGGTATTTTAAAGACTAAAGGGGAAAAATGTAAACAAATAAACAACATAATTACAAAATAACACATTTTAGGCAAAGTTTAGACACAAACTGAGAACAATATTTCCTGACATACAGGGTTTATTTAATTGTGTGAAAATGTAGCACGTTTAAAAAAAATACCGCGATAATACTGAAAACCGTGGTAATTTTGGTCACAATAACCGTGAGGTTAAATTTTCACACCGTGACAACCCTAATACAGACCATTTTAGATTAGGTTGCATTTCCTTTATTCCCAGATTATGTAGTTTGTAGCACTCATTATAATGTTGTAGAAAATTTCTGGCCAATCCACGTGATCGGTATCGGTGATCAGCATTCTTTGATATCGGTATCGTGATTGGCAGCAAAAAACCTGATCGGTGCATCCCTAGTCACGAGACAGCAAAACAATGTGATCATTTGTCAGTTGTAAGATGGCTTCAGGTTCACCCAAAGTCCAAACTCCCCGACGGGCGGCTTTCACTTCCTGAGATGTCTCTTCAGTTGGTCTTCTTCTGTCCCTCATCCTGTGCTGCTTGCTTTCAGTTGGACCACTCCTCTTTATCACCTGCCTGATTCCACTCACATCAGTAGGCTCTCGCTTATCTTTGCTTTCCTTGTGACCTCTTTTATTACCTCCATTGTTTCTGGCGTGCGAGAGCTTGCAACACTACAGTAAGTAGCCTGTGCTTTCATGAACTGTGCTGGCTGAGCTGTTGGAGGCCAGATGTCAGAGGATCTCTGCTCTGCAAAGCCTTCATTGTTTTGCCCCATTAGGCTAAGTTGTTTGGGTGAAGTGGCAGTCGGAGCCCCTGCAGCATGAAATGAGTCTACAGTGTGGGAGCAGATGGAAATGATGCTATGAGAAGTGTAATAGCCTAGAACGATGCTCTTCAGGCTGCAGCGTTGTTCCTCCCAGACAAGGTGGTAACCGTCGCCGGAGGGCCTCTTAGCAGATCAACAGTCAGCAAACGGCTACATGATGAAACTCACACCTTTAGGAAAGGGTTTCTTTTCGGGGAGGGGGGTTACAGAGAGGAGAAATACACAGACATATATAAATCCACTGTTTTAATTTTCACATTCTGAAAATAGTAAATGGTCTGTATTTGACATAGAGCCTTCTAGTGTTTTCTAGAAAAAAAACACCAAAAGAAAAGTTTTTTGTTTACAATAACAGTTTTGTCCTATTTGTCTATTAACTCATTCACTGCCAGTGACGACTAACGTCGTCATTTTAGATCCAACCGTTTACTGCCAATGACGACTAAAGTCGTCATTGGCATTTTTTAACTGTTTGGGCATCGGAACAAGCCCCCGCGCTGAGAGAACAAACATCTTAGCTCTGAAGCCGATCTTCATCCGCATACGTCACACATCACATGTCACACGACACATGATCAGGAAGCAGAACATCCATGTGTTAGGAGATCGTTTTGGGCCGTTCCTGTAAAAAAAAGTGAGACGCGAACCAGAAAAGCGTATGCCGATCACAGTTCAGCAATGGATTATGAAAGAACGGATAACGCTCGAAACACAATGATTCTTCCTGATGTAAGAGGCAAATATCCACTTTGTATTGGTTGTTTTGGTGTCGACATCATCTTAGAGCGCAACGTTCTGTGACTCTTAAAAAAAACAGTAAAAATGGTGAGAAATGCTGGCAGCGAATGAGTTAAATGTTTTTACCCAGGACTGAGAGTGAAAGTGAGGAGGAGGAGGATTTGCTGTTGCTGTCTGAGGAAGAGATGAACAAACTAGGGTCCAAGCTGATAAAGGCAGAGATGATGGGCAACACGGTAAGTTTATGATGTTTTACTGGCCCAGATTTTAGGTTTGACAAACTCTGTTCTGGTCTTTGGTTGGGTTCAAAAAGGTGCTTCCTTCTGTTTTAGCATTTTTCAGACGGATCTGCAGCTGGCATGTCCAAAGTGTAGCTCTCAGATGTTCCAGGAAATTAAAACCATTTTTAAGACATGAAAGTTTACGTCTAATTGAAAATGTTTTATTTATCACCTTTTCTTAGCCCAGTAAACTTGGAATGCTTCATTGGAACCTCCACAGACCCTAGCAGCATTCCAGCTGGCCAATCACAGCTCTCTACGGGGGTTTCAAATTGGGAGAGCACTGTGATTGGTCCACAACACTGTATCGGCTTTGTGGGCCAATTAAAGCTTTCTATTGGCATTGTGGGCCAATCAGGGCCCTCTATTTGTCTGGTGGGTGTGAATGTGCGACGGATTGAAACAAGATGGCGACAGCTTGTTTGAAACGGCTTTTACATCAGTTTGGACTATTAGGTCTTGGGCTTTATTAGAATCAGGACCAGAGAGATATATTTCAGTCCTTTTTCAAGAAAAAGGGTGTATTTTCACCTTCTTCAACAGCAGACCGCCACGTTTAGACATCCGTTGCGGTGAGTACGTCACGTTGTTCATTGTCCAGTAGCATGCAGAGGTCGTTTGAAAGACAACAGTAGAACACGCCCCACGACCGAGATCCGTCAATGGAGCGTTGCTAAGCTAAGCTTTTCTCCCTTTATTTTAACTTTCCAGCAAATGGGACAACAAACCCTCACTGTGAGACTTATTCATATGTTTTGACTAAATACAACAAACATTACTGAAGAGTGACCCAGGTCATTTTCTTGTAGCTGATGAGAGATTAAAATTGATATTTAGGACAAAAAAACAAACAAACCAGAAAACCATCAATCTGTTAAATCTTATTAAGATAAAGGTATGGCACTCTTTTCATGCCTCCCATCACAAAATAACTGTTTGTTTTATGAAATTATTGCATATTTAATGTATCGTTGAGCAGATAAGTATCTTCAACTTGTTGATTTTGGTCTATGATTTTTAAAGTTGTGACTCTAGCTCACACTGATGACTAAAATGTGCTTTTATAGTGTTAGCAGCTCGGATGAACGCATCAGAGGAGTGGTGAGAGACAAACAAACAAAAATACTAATGTCTTAATAAAACTCCTGCATTTTCCATGAGTGGTTCCTTATTCTAAGTTTAAAATCTTAGTTTGAGGATATATTTTATATCTTTTTTAAGCAGATGTTAAAAGGGATAGTAGCCAGTTTTGCTTTCTTTTACCACCCCTTAGTGCTCATTATTAAATTACTGTGGTTAAACCGAAAAGGAAACTTATCTCCTTGCTGTGCATTCGTCTTTGTAGCACCATGATCTAACAGCTGAAACGTCTCCTCAGCCTTCATTAGTGTCTACAGGAGTGATTCATCACTAAATTAAACAAATCAGCTGGGTTCATGACCTAAAACGTAGGAAACTTGCTGGAAGCAGACTGCAGCGTTAGGCGTGTCTAGGGATGGGTACCTTTGACATTTGAATCGATCCGGTACTAATTACCGGTACCTACGAATCGATACCGGTACTTAACGGTACCAATTTTCGATACTTTTGAGTGTTTATTATTTTAATTCTCTTTTATAATTAAATATATATTTTTCTCAATATATAACAATATTTGATAAATATCACGATAAATAACATATAACTGTTTGTATTTTAACATTGCCCTTGTAGTTTTATAAGCTGATAATTAAACTGAAGCAAACATCTTTACTGTGAACTAAATTTACTGTGTCTTCATTCCTTTTGCCATCTTTTTTCATTTGATTTTTCCTACTGGGAAGTTAGAATTTCCGAGGAGGAAGCGAACGCACCATTAGCTGATAACAATGGTGGCAATGGAAGCTAACATATCAAGCTAACGATATCTTAAACAGTTTATTTAGCTGCTGGAGCAGATTAAAACGATGCCTCACACTTAGATCGTCACTGGTTTCGTCTTCACCCGTCACATTTAGTAAAGTGAAGCCAAACTTTAGAGCGCGTTCATGTTGTTCTAGTCGGAAATTCGGAGTTCCGAGGAGAAAGCGAACGCACCATTAGCGAAACGGAAGCTAATATATCAAGCTAATTATATTTACCTACCGGAGCAGATTAAGATGAGGATGTCTCACTTAGATAGTTGTCGCTGGTTTCATCATCCAGTTACCCATCACATTTAGTGAAGTGGACCCAAGCTTTAGCGTGCGTTCTCTCTACCATGCTGCTCTGTTTACAACTGGTTCACAGCAAGCGACGACAAAACGCTCCTGCGCATGCGCAGCTGTCTTGGCAAGTTCTCGTTAGGATAGACGGGTACCGAAACGAGGCACCGTTTGAAATGACGTGAATCGGTGCTCGGTCGGTACTATGGAATTCGGTCGGTACCTTAAAAAGTACCGAATTCGGTACCCATCCCTAGGCGTGTCAGCTCAATTTTTTCTAAGTCTACAAGATGTGGCTCGCCACACAGAAGTTGCAAATGCAATATTCTTGCCACAGGGGGCGGTGAGGCCTGAGTAACATTTCATTAACCCTGTAAAGGGTAATTTTAGCACATACTGGCTCAAGAAAAGGATTTAAAAATATGCAAATCAAATTTTGCAAAGTATCCCTTGCACACTTCCGCTGCTGTTTCTCACTAGTATCAGCTGATGGAGGACTCTAGTTTCGTTGCGCCATTCATGTCTGCGGACACGGTAGGGTTGGGGAGGGGGGAGGGGCATGACGCTTAGCCTGGCGGGTGGCCAAGCAAAGCCTGGTGGGCCGCCAGACTTATAAAGCACTGGGGGAAACCCTGATTTAGGTATCTACTGCCCCCTATCGCCAGGAAAAATACACACTGTCACTTTAAAATTCAGCAGGTAGTCATAATGTTCTTTCTGACTGGATTTTATGGATGTTTGTTTTTCAGGCCATGATAGAGAAACTGAAATCTCAACTGGATGCTGCTCATACAGCTAAAGAGAACCACGCCGCCAGAATAAAGCAACATGAAACAGCCGAGTCAAAGAAGGTTGGTGTGAGGATCAGATCCTTTATGCCCATTTCAGGTTTGCTGCTTCTGCCAGGTTTTACTCTGAGGAGATGCATACAGCATGAATTCACCGTTTAGAAAGTGGGTATTTATTTGTTTCTGATCAGACAACACGGGCGACTTTCGTGGCTGTTTTCAGACTTCATGCACATTTTTATTTTATGTGAAGGGAAATGGAAGCTTATTTACAATGAGTTGAGCTCTTCAGATCTTTTTTAAACACGTGGAGATCAATAGGATTGTGAGGGTGATCTTAAGAAGGCCTCCATCTATGTCTACATGAAAGAACATCTACACATGGAGTCCATATTTGTCTCATTATGGACAGCTTTTGGCTCGTCTTCCTTTGACTGTTTCGACTCAAAAATTATCTTTTCTATCTTCCTTCTTCCAGCATTGCCTCTGCTGTTTGTGATTCTCAGATTTATCATTTTTCAGCCCTGCAGTTATGGATGTATTACTTTTTTATTATTAAGTACTTTACCTTTTTGGTATGAACAACACTTATATTGTGCTCATCTCTTCATAATAACAAGTCACAAAAAATGTCACCATTAAGTTCGCAATGAAACTGCAGTTTGATCAGGATGCAAGTTTAAAAGAAAAGTTTATGTTGAAATTAGTACATCTTGATTATGGCTCAAATAAAAAGGTGAACTCTGTGGTTTTATGACACAATTTACTTCCTAATGAATGTACATCATTTTAGTCTTTTGTTGGTATTCATATAAAACTAAAATAATCACAAGTGTTTTTTTAATGATTTTTTTTCTGTCAGGTAAAATCATTTTTTTCTCCAAAACAAAAATTTTTCAGGAAATGACAGAAGCAATGTTTATTCTCCAAGGATTAAACCAAAAGCTCTTTTTGAATCATTTTATTGAAAATTCATCCTTAAAACTACTGATAAATGTGAAAGACGACCAATATAAAATATGTTGGTTGGCTGATATTTACCGTTTTTTTAAAAGATCAATATTGGTCAATATCTGTCTTTTAGTAAAGCCAATTCGAAGTCGGGCACATTCTTGGGCAGCCCGATGCTGTCGCAGAGTTTAATTTAAATGTATTTTATGTTAACTAATAACATCTGCATAATAAACACTCTAAATTAACTTTATTTAGATGTCTGACGTGAACCCTGAGCAGTGCACAAATTAAGATTTAACAGTTAGTTAAATTCAGAGTTAAAAACTGACTCAGTTTCACAGATTTTGTGCATCAGCTGTTGTTGTTGACATTTTAGCATGAAAATAAGGTGGAAAATATCTAGATATAAGCCATAAAAATATCGGCATTGGTATCTGCAATAGACGAACCAATGTCAGTCGACCTCTAGTGATGATATAAAGTGTTGGTTTTGCTGTTTTTAGGCGGCCGGTCACTCCAGTGAAGACCAGGAGGTCCTGCTGTTCAGAACGGATCAGTCAGGGAGAGCTTGGCCTGTCAAGGGTCCAACTGGACCTCAGGAGCCCCATGGAGGCCGACGAAAGAAGAAACCGGTAAAGAGAAAGGGGTGATGGGACACCTGGGGTATTTAACATCTTTTTTGTAACGTCTGAGTGAATTTTTCTCCTCAACATCGCTCCTCTCTGCTGGGACCGCTCCTTTCAGATGGAGACCCATGTTGATGGGCAGCGTGTTCGCTACTTCCAGGACGACGACAGCATTGGTCTGCAGGAGATGGTGAGGAGGGAGAAGATGAGTTCTGCCCAGGATCAGCATGCTCTTTACTCGCGTATGGCTGCAAAGGTAAGAAAGCTCTTTAGTTCAGGCGTCAGCAGCAACAGACCAATGAGCTGTTATCTGTATTCTTTCTGCTTAAGATGACACAGTATTGAATTTCCAAGGGTGTTTTCTGTTTTTCTTCACTCAGAAGTTTTTGTTGTGACTTTACTTGTAAGTTACAGTAAATAAATGTAGAGTACAGGGAACAGAACTGAGTTTGGTGTTATCGTCTGAAGGAAAACATCAAAAGCAGTGATGCTTTCACTCAAAGGTAGCTACTGCTCATTTGATGCCAGCATTGTTAGCTTCAGGCTTACCGTTTGAACTTTTTAACCTACCGGTGCAACATTTCTGTTTCCTCATGACTCACTGGTTCAGGAGTTCAATTCTCACTGCATCAAAAGGTCCTAAACCATTTTGGATAAGAAAACGTTTAAAACTGAGGCTCAGAGGTGAGTATTGGCGAAACGACTAGGGATGGTACAGAATTCGGTAGTTTTTAAGGCACTGACCGAATTCTGTGGTACCGACCGAGGATAGTTTCATGTGATATGAAACGGTGCTTTGTTTCGGAACCATAGAATTTGGTACCTGTTCTTCAGTAACGAGAACTTGCAAGACACTAGCTGCGTTTACATGTGTAAATTTCCTCAATCCGATTGAAATCTTGGTTGATCGGAATTTCCGAATCTCTGTTCACATGGACACGAACTGAAATGATCCGATCATGCCGTGCGTACATATGCACCAAGCATTAATCCGATTAAATAGGTTGAGCATGCGCAGAGCTGCCTTTCCCGAAAGAAAAATTGTAAACAAACGCCATGAAACGAAATGAAAAATGTAGAAACAGAAATAACTATTCTTCCTGCTTTCCTGATCCATTTATTCTATTTAATATTTTTATTTAGCTCATAGAAGTTACGTTTTCTTCAGTGAATAACTGCAGATATATGCTTTGCTGCATTTTATTGTTGATTAAAATAAGGGAGGGTTATGTCTCTGCCTCTTGATCAGCTGGTCCGCGGGTCTGAAGTGACAGCTGTGCTGTAGCGCTGCGCTGCAGCACAGAGTGGGGGTGGGGGGTGGGGGTTAGACTCATGCTTTATTACTGAGCTCTGTTGTGGCTTATTATTAATACCATGTGACAGTCGGCTGAAACTGTTGAAAAAAATCTGTTCAAACAAAATAACAGAAGATGTTCAGAAAGTTTAGAAGCCTGTGTTCATCATAAACAAACCACATCTCAGGTCATGTGCGTTTACGTGCTTTTAACACGGACATTACTGTCGTCCAGAGTATTTAACCGAGGACGTTTTCCTACCCAACATCAGCCTCCAATCAGGTCTGTGAAACCCATATTATCCTGTGTTCTTTACAAGCGCGTCTCCATCACCTGCTGCAGAAGCTGCTGCCTTCAAAGCTGACAGAAACGGGGATCCGTGCGCTGCAACCCCTGCAATAAACCTGCGTATTTCCCGTACAGATTTGAACATGTTTGTCGAATGATTTGTGCAATAATCAGATTTTTATTTTACTTCCACAAAATGCAAGTTCTGAATTAAATATTACTGAAACGGGGACAGCTTGTCGTCGGATTTAAAAGCCGCCACTCGTTAATTACGCCGTCATTTTTGAAGTCAGGCAGTCCAAACGACAGCGGAGAGGCCCGCTCCTGTTTCACACATGCGCAGTGGGCATTATTTTACCCCAATCATCCGAATGGCTGTGTACATGCACGTCAATCGGAATGAAGAACGGAATAAACCACCTCTCTCAATCGGATTGAAATTTCAATCCGATCGGGCCGAATCGGATCAGAATATTCCGATTGACATGTTTACATGCAGAATTTTCGATCTGATTGGGCATTCAATCCGATTAAATATGCGCATGTAAACATGGCTACTGATTTGCCAAGATAGACAGCAGCACATGTGCAAGAACGTAATGTCAGTCGCTGCGGGCGAGATGTAAACAGAGCAAGCAGCATGTTAAGAAGGAAGCCCTCTAAAGTTTGGGTCCACTTCACTAAATGTGATGGGCGACGACAATGTTCTAAGTGAGTAATCATTGTGTTAATCTGCTCCAGCAGGTAAATAAACATTTTAAGATGACTTAGCTTTATATTTTAGCTTATTGAGCTCATGGTGTGTTCGCTTTCTCCTCTGTGCTCGGAAATTCTCATTTCCGAGTAAAAATCAGCTGTTTGAAAATGAACAGCAAAAGGAATGATTATACACGATAAATTTAGTTCACAGCAAAGACTTTTTTTTATAAAACTTCAAGGACCCACCCATCACACAGTTTGTCCAGAGGAAAGGAAAGGAGAGGAGTTGGAGTACATGGAGCTGGGTTTAGTTTGTGAAACACCAAAATATTAAAATACAGACTGTTGTATGGTATTAAAGTTTGTTTTAGTTTCATTTGTAGTTCATAATAAATGATAAATGACCCACACTTGTATAGCGCCTCTCAGAGTAAGGACTCCAAAGCGCTTTACACTACACTTTACACTAATACATGGTCTCCTCATCATCGCTATTCCACAGGGCATAGAAGAGGAATAGGAGCTGGGATCTTATTTAGTTTTAATTTAATTAAATCATTTAGAAACGGCTGTGGTTAAAGGTTTTCATATTGAAGAATTTTGCACAACACTACAATGATAAAATACAGACAGTTGTATGTTATTTATCATGATATTTGTCAAATATGGTTACATAGTGGGGAAAAATATATATTAGGGATGCACCGATCAGGTTTTTTGCTGCCGATACCGATCACCGATACCGATCACGTGGATTGGCCAGAAATGTTCTACAACATTATAATGAGTGCTACAAACTACATAATGTGGGAATAAAGGAAATGTAACCTAATCTAAAATGGTCTGTATTAGGGTTGTCACGGTGGGAAAATTTAACCTCACGGTTATTGTGACCAAAATTACCACGGTTTTCGGTATTATCACGGTATTTTTTTTAAACGTGCTACATTTTCACACTAAACCCTGTATGTCAGGAAATATTGTCCTCAGTTTGTGTCTAAACTTTGCCTAAAATGTGTTATTTTGTAATTATGTTGTTTATTTGTTTACATTTTTCCCCTTTAGTCTTTAAAATACCAATATTTGCCCATAACTTCTTATTTTGTGTCTGTTTGATGTCATCATTTAAAAATATTAGATCAGATGATACTCAGTACTCAAGTAGCCTTCTAATCAGATACTTTTTTACCCTTACTTGAGTAATAAACCCTATATCAGGAAAATATTGTCCTCGGTTTGCGTCCTTCCAGTGAGCTTTGCAGATTTGGGAAAATGTCATCAGGCAGTAATCATTGTTAAATTCATAATTATTCTCGGAGAGAGACCAACTCTTATCTGCCCCTGGGAAACCCATAATGCATAGCGTCATTTCAACATGGCGGTGTCCGTGACACGGTTTATATGCAGGTAGCGGTGCTGCCTTTATCCATTTTTCTGCACTACTCTTCATGCAGCTGCTTGTCTTGCGGTGTGACTGTCTCATCCACCGTGTGCTTTATATAGCGACTCGTTGCATTCTCCCTCAACCCAAATCCTCGGATCACGCATTTTAGCTAAAACGCTAACGTTGGCTTGCCTTGCGTTGACTGTAGAGTTGTGGGTGATGATCACGCAGATGTGTCATGAGATTTGAAGCATTGCTGCCTTTCACAGACACTTTTTCTGCACGTGCTGCAATTAGGATAGCTGTCTTCTATCAACTCCCTTGGCATTCTTCAAATATCTAAAAGATGCCCGTAATTCCAACTTTGTCTTCTTTGAGGGATAATAAATGTCCTGAGTGCTGCCGTCTCCTCCTTTGGCCATTATTTCAGCTTTAGCTTCAAGAACGTTTTGGTTGTAAACAACAAAGCGTGCATGTGCCGCCGGTCCTGCAACTTCAGCAGATGATACGGTGGCTGGTAAGGGTCACCGCGCCTACACCGCAGCCACGGTAATCCACCGAGATAATATAGTTTTTTTTTTAAAAACAAGACAGTTATTATTATTGTCAACTTTTTTTAACCAGGGTTTACCGCTTCACCGGTTACCGTGACAACCCTACCTGATCGGTCTGCTTTGATCTATTTTGAAAACTCCGATCAAAACCGATAGGGGCGCTATCGGCCGATTGGGATCAAATGCCGATCCATCGGTGCATCCCTAATATATATAATTAAAAAAGCTTGTTAAACACTCAAAAGTATAAAAAATTGGTACCGTTAAGTACTGGTATCGATTCCTTGGTACAGGGAATTGGTACCGAAACTATTCAAATGTGAAAGGTACTCATCCCTAGAAACAACCACATTCTAAACCTAAGTTGAGAACATATTTCTATTAATTATTTTATTGGAGGTAATTTCCTTGGGGTTTCCTGTTTTTATATGGCAGTAGCAGAAAAGCTGTGAGTGGATGCTACACGGCTGCATGCTCGTAGGAGGATTTTCTGGGTTAACACTGTCGAACTGTTTAAACTAAGGAGGCCTGGATACACATTTAGGTTTTGTTCTGTCACATTGTCATGTCTTTATCCATTTTTCTGCACTACTCTTCATGCAGCTGCTTGTCTTGCGGTGTGACTGTCTCATCCACCGTGTGCTTGAAATAGACCCACAGCAGCAGATGGGTACTGGCAGGTTGTGGTGCCTCTGCCAGTCCGTGAGCAGCTCCACTCTCAGCCAAGTCATGTTTATCTTTATCTTCTTCTGCTTTCCACTTGTTTTCTCCTTCCCTCTGCGAATGCGGGAATGCAACAAGTAGTATGAAAATCTTTGTGGTGTGTGTGTGTGTCTGTGTGTGTGTGTGTGTGTGTGTGTGTGTGTGTGTGTGTGTGTGTGTGTGTGTGTGTGTGTGTGTGTGTGTGTATGTGTGTGTGTGTGTGTGTGTGTGTGTGTGTGTGTGTGTGTGTGTGTGTGTGTGTGTGTGTGTGTGTGAGAAAGAGAGAGTCCATAAGAAAATAAACTGATTGTTGCCATGGGAATAAAAACATCCTTTATCCCTATCCTTGTTTTTTTTTTTACTGTTACTCCTTTTGCACTCACTTACATGTGGCAGAGTTGCTAACACTCCTTTCACTACACATGTATGAAAACACACACTGCACCCACAAGAAGTGACACTAAGAATACATCCACCGTTGCCATGGCAGGACTTCTATAAATACTATTACTAATCACAGCTATAGATTGAGCATCTTGGAGAGAAAGCATTATCGCTGTTCCTTCTCTTTTGTCCTGTCTTTGGGATAAAATCTCATCACCTGTGCTATCTTTCTGATTTTCTACCATTTTAACCATTTAATGTTTATTTTATTCTTTTATTCATTTTCCATCTCAATTTTCTTTATGCTCACATTCTCCTTTCAGTTATTGCATCATATTTATTTTTTCACAAATAAAATTCAATCGTTTCTTCCAAAGAGAAGGAAGGGGATGATGAGTGTGTTTTGCATTTGTGGTCAATTTATGTGCTGATAACATTATTTTTAGTCCTGTTTTCTACAAATGCTGATCAGCTGCTGACCACGGGCCAAAGTCAGTTCTGCTCTGAAGCAGGGGAAATGTATTCAACTAAGCAATGCTGCTCAGAGTTTGTATCTGTTGAACCTCTTCCCCATCTCTGCTCGCTCTTCCTGTACCTGACAGTTGTGCCGGAGGCGTCGTGTTCCCGGGTTTTCACTCTCATGAGCTCAGAGTCCCAGGAAGGCCTTTAAAGAGCTTCTACAGAATTGGCATGAATTAAAAGGTCACGCTAAATTTTTTACAATAGTGCATCATTGAATTTAAAGTTATGTTAACATTTTTAATTGGAAACATAAAGTGCGCTTCGGTAAATTTGCAAAGTTCAGCAAAACCTTATTGACCGTTCATCAGCAGTGTGGAAGTTTAAGCCGCAATCCGGAGTTTTCCCTCTTTCAGGAATTATTATGTATTATTCTTTAGAAATCCATAAAAGGAATAGTCTTGCCCTGTTCTGTGATAAAATGCAGGCCATACATCATGTTTATGCTAAGCCCATCTCCAGCCATCCTATGTTGGTAAATATATATTCTGTCCACAAGCCACTGAAACAACCCAGTCATAGGGTGGGGTCCAGGGCCGTTGCTAGCTATTTTGGTGCCCTAAGCACAAAGTCTTCGTGGTGCCCCCCCCCCCCCCCCCCCCCCCCCAAAAAAAAAAAACAACACAATAACACAGTATGTGCAAGAGCTTTGCCTTAACTTCTCTTTAATTCTCTTGAAAAAACTGCTTATTATTTCAAAAAAGTAGGATTGATATTTAAATAATATAACATACTCAACACAGGAACTCCATATTGTTATTATTTAGAATTATGTAATGGATCCACACACCACAAGCACCGGTTGTGGCACATGTGTTTCTCCAATGTACTTTTCAGATACTTTTTCAGATCCAGGACTCATTTTGCCTTCAGAAGTGCTGGCTGTGGGCTGTGCTCGGTCTGTAGGTGTGCTTTACTTTGTAATTCCTGGTCAGGGCTGGGTGATGTTGTAGAAGGTTCAGACGTGATGGCTGACAACTGATCTTGAGCTCTTGAACTGCTGGTGGATGGCTGATCTGAACTTTTGGCTTGAGCCCCTCCTTGAATGTACTTGTTCATTGAGCCTGCATTCAAACACAAAAACATTATTGGTCATATTCATTCTATAATAAGATAAAAGTTTTAAACCATGGTAAAAAAAAATACTGCAAATTATTTATAGGTTTATATTGGCTTATAAATCACTGGCATGTGACATGACTAATTTCAAAACTATTTAACCTTTATTAAGGACTAGAGAGGCACAATGTACACATTTTATACACAACTAGAAAATTCTGAATATGGAGGGAGGAGGTTAGCATAATGGACCTTTTTCTTCAAATTATACCATCAGCAGCTGATGTTCCTCTTGGCCCGTAAATGTTTATGAAATATATATCAACATAGAGCAAATACCTAATTAGAAAATAGGTTTGTCTAATTTTTCATATTAAATCTCTGTTACATAGCCTATAGGCCACATAGGCTATTTAATAATGATATAAATCATGTCCATAATTAACTCATGATTAATCACAAACAGCCGCTTATTTAAAAATAAAACTTCTTACTTTACCTTGATGGTGTTTTTGTCCTTCCTGTTTTTGTGATATTTAAGTATTTGGGTGGACAAATATGATTCATTTGTTTATTTCTGTTACAAAACAGCACAGATGGGCCTATCTGACGTCACAGAGGAAACTTTATTTTACTTGAGAAAGATGTTTTAAGATGAACTTATTAAAACAAAAAAATCTTCAAACTCTTCAAGGTCTATTTTTTTAGATGAACAACCTTTAACACTGTTCAGACTTATTTGTTGATACAAGTCGCATGAACAGGCTGAATAAAAGGATATTTCCCTTTGTTGCATTTAACTAATTCTTCTTCTTTAAAGAAGTGCTCATTCAGAAGAGAATAACTGCATTTAGGAAGATGATGACTTGCTACGTTTTTTTCTCCAACAGTAAAAATGAATGTATTCGCCTGATTTAACTGAAAATGCTCCCAAACTTTAGAAGTTTTTACGTTTTTTGGGTCTCGCTGCTTCTGCCATGTTCCTCTTCCAAACACCTGCCGGCTCTGCGGTCTGCGCGCAACGGCGGGCGGGAGGGGAGGGGGCTTTTGGAAGAGTTGTGCAACACAACGACTCGATGACGCAATTCGTTGCCAACGCTTTTAGTAATCGATTTTCATCGAATTTATCGATTCGTTGTTGCAGCCCTAAACATGTGACAACCTAATACATGTGACAGCCCCATCTAGTGGACAACTTTTGTTTCTGTGCATGTAGTTATCGTCCATTTATCGTTATTAAGGTGAAATCTTACATTGTGATATTGATTTTAGGCCATATCGCCCAGCCCTATAGGCCAGCGGTAGACCTGCTGAGGCTACAATGGAGCGTGGCTAGACCGAACTGCAGATCGAAATCTTCAGCTACTGCATGTGCTTGACCACTGTTTGACTCAAGGTTATTCTAGGGGTCTGGGTTGTCCTGTTTTTTCTGCTGAAGGGAGGTACCGTTACCATGGCTACTGTGAGCCTGGTTTTCAACAATGTTGAGGTGAACATGAGAATACTGTCTTTCCTAGAAGAATGTTGTAATAAGATTATGTTTGTGGCTCTGTTGTGTGTTCATTCTTCCACTCGTTTTTTTTTAACGTTAGTCTGAGACCTGTTGTTGATTTTCTATCCTTAATGACATCTATACTCTGACTTGATTTCTTAACTCAGTTCTTTTTGCTGTTGTGTCTTTAGTTTAAGAACACCCCCCTCTCCTTTGTGATGTAATGGCTGTTCCCCAGTACACACTGTGAAGGAGTGTTTCTGATTGGAGCTCAGAGGAGAAGAAAACATAGAAGTCATTAGCTTGATGTCAGATTAAACACTTAGGAAGTACATTTTTCCCCTCCAATGTGTTGCTTTCTGTGTTCTCTTGTGGCTTTTAAACATCAACAGAAGCAAGGCAGCATTTGTGTCCCAGGGTTTGTACGGGTTCTTGAAGTCCTTGAAAATACTTGAATTTCAATAACGTATTTTCAAAACATGGAAAGTGCTTAATTTCTGCATTAATTATGAATTACCCACGGACTGGAAGTAGACGAGCATGACTTCAGCTCAAAACACAAGCTCAGCATCTCATTACGTTTAAATGCTTTTGGAAGATTTCCGTGTATCATCAGCTGACTCCTATAAAACCGGTGATTAACATCAGCAGTAAAAATCAGGGCAGGTGGAGTTGGAACATACAATGTTTAATTAGTCTGCAAACATGGGAGTGTGTGTTTGCACATGCGTGTGTGTGTTTAATAAAAAAAAAATGTAGCCAAATGCTGTATGGTAACTGCGCGATAATGTCTAGACCCCCCGCCAATACCCGGAGTCTCACATGTACACACATTCCAACTTGTTCCCTGGTTTCTATGGTGACAAGACTCCAAAGCAGTAACATTGTCGAATACGGTGCGTCTTGCTTCGTAGCTCGAACACTCAGAGGGTGCCTTTGATACAGCATACACACACACACACACACACACACACGCACACACACACACACACACACGCACACACACACACACACACACACACAAACTGGGATAGGCACTGCTTCATTTTATTTTATTCTATTTTATTTTATTATATTATATTTTATGTTATTTAATTGTATTTGAATATCACACTTTTATTATCTTTACATACATTTTTGTAGAATTACTTTATTTTGCTTACCATTTCCTCCTTTTCTCTCCCTTTCTGCCTGGGATGGACTTCTCCAGATGATGGGAAAGATGGATGGCGACAACTACACGCTGGATGACATGTTTGTGTCGAGTGCAGCCCAGAGGGAGGGCGAAGGGAGAGAGGAGGAGCGGATGAGGAGCAAGGCTATCGCTGAGAGTAGGAGGCTGGCTGCCTCCATGGATAAGTGCCAGCACTGTTTCAACAGCAAAGACCTTCAGAAGCATCTCATTGTGGCCATAGGGAGCAAAGTAAGGAGATGGTGTTGAATGTTGGCAGATTTATACAAAACTAATGAATCTGTGAGGCAAACTATTCAGCAGTTTTTTGGTTTGTAGCAACGTGTGATTTCTAGTTAACTTGTTTGTGATTTCTAGTTAACTTGTTTGTGATTTCTAGTTAACTTGTTTCTTTTACTCTGAATTTCCTGGACTGTTGAACAGTTAGTTATTAGAGCTCTAAATTAACTTAATGTTAGCTTTGGAAATTTGAATTATAGTTTAAAACCGTTTGTAAAGTAGTTTTGTTCTCCAGGTGTATCTGAGCCTGCCTGCAGGCGTGTCCATGACCGAAGGCCAGTGTCTCATCTGTCCTCTGCAGCATCACTGCTCTGCCACTGGTTTGGATGAGGACATCTGGTCAGAAATGCAGGTTTGTCCGGCATCAGGACTTAGCGTGTTGTTTTCCTGCAGTCATAAGCTCAACTACCACCCCGTTCACAGCTGTTCCGACGAGCTTTGGTGCGAATGTTTGAGGCACAGGAGCTGGACTGCGTGTTCATGGAAACACACATAACCCCCCGCAGAAGACAACACATGGTCCTCGAGTGCATCCCTCTACCCAGAGAGCTGGGTGACATGGCACCCATTTACTTCAAGGTCGGTGTTAATGTAACACATGGAATGATGACAACGTTTATTCCGGTGCCATAAGGGTTTATTTTCATCTGTAACACAGAACAGAGCTTTAAGTGAGCAGCAGTTCACTGTTGTGCATTTCCTGGCTGAGCTTCCCACCGGTAGCCTACTTCTTCTGCTACAACTTCCTTGAACGAAAGCTAAACTAACAATATACGTTTATACATACAACAGTTTGCAAAACACATACAACGTTAGCAATGAGAAACTCAAGGATCTCCAATATAAAGCCAAACACTGTTTTAAAGTGCCATTTTGGTACCAAATATCATATTCTGTCCTTAACAATAAACAGTATTGATCATAGAACCGCGCCGTAACATACGGAAGTGACGTCACCGTCCTACTACCCCGAGCGGCAGCCACTTGGCTTCAGATGCTAACAGAGCTTCGCTAACAAACTCCGACGATATGGCCACTTAGTTCCATTTATACAAACTGAAACATGGCACCATAAAACCCTCTTGAACATATTAAATGGTCTGTGTTTAACAGAACAGAGCTTTAAGTGAGCAGCAGTTCACTGTTGTGCATCTCCTGGCTGAGCTTCTCACCGGTAGCCTACTTCAGCTACAAGTTCCTTGGAAGCATCAGCCAGTCAGCCTAACGCTAGACCACTGCTGCCACCTATTGGTGCATATAAGTATTGGCCGAATTTTGTGTCTTAAAAACAGGTGAGGTTTGAAAGAATAACAAACAAGTTTATCTAGTATTAAATATATATAAAAAGATTGGATGAGGGAACTAATTAACTATTAAATGTAAAATTTTAAGGGTGCCACATCAACCTATAAAAGTTGTATTTTAGTTTATTTTAATAGTAAAATATGATCATATGCTTGATTGTGTTGTAGAAAGCTATTATGGAATGTGATGAGGAGTGGGCCATGAACAAGAAGATTGTTGACTTGTCTTCAAAGGACATCCGGCAAGCTGTACGTTTTTTATGGTTCTTCCTTTTACCTCATTTCTGTTTTGGGTTGAACTAGTGGTGAAATTTTACAAGATATAATATGATAAATTGTGGTATCTGACATCATTTTATCATTTTATTTTCCCTCTTAGGTTCCTCGAGGTCTTCCATACTTTGCCGTGGATTTTGGACTGCAGGGAGGGTTTGCTCATGTTATTGAAAACGAGCAGAAGTTTCCCCATTACTTTGGCAAGGTTTGTGATTGTACTAGACTGATTCATTCGCTCAGATCTATTTTATAGTCGTGTATTGTTGCTACTCAATAACGTGCTAATCATTTCATGTGTTTATGTAACTGGTTTTAAAGTTGTGTTTAATGTATTATTTTTTTTAAATCTTTTATTAGTTTTTATAAAAAGGCTCAAAGTGACCCGCCCCTCTTCTCTTCACAGGAAGTGGTTGGAGGAATGATGGACTTGGAGCCACGACGCTGGAGAAAGCCAATCAGAGAAAACTTTGATGATCAGAGGAAAAAGGTCCTGCAGTTTGCACAGTGGTGGAAGCCGTATGACTGCACGAAGACCCAAGACTAAAGGACTAAACACAAACCCTCATGTCTCTGGAAGCATATGGGGAAGACACACTTTACTTTAATGGAATAAATGTGAAATAGCAGAAATGTTTTGTAAAATAAATATTAGTCAAATGATTGTTTAGAAGTATTTATTTATTTATTTTTTTACATTTCTGACTAAAACACCAGCTTTATGTTCGAGGTGAGATTAGAACAAAGCTCTTTTCTGTACATCATCTGACCCTTTTTCATTTATGTTTCGCTCATCTTCTCCACTCAACTCAACACTTATTGGACAGCAGCAGCTCAGGAGGTAGAGCGGGTTGTCCAGTAATCAGAAGGTTGCAGGTTCGATCCCGGCTCCAGACAGAGAATTCTGCTGTTGTGTCCTTGGGCAAGACACTTAACCCACCTTGCCTGCTGGTGGGGGTCGAGGGGACCGGTAGCGCCAGTGCTAGGCAGCCTCACCTCTTGTCAGTGTGCCCCAGGGCAGCTGTAGCTACATCGTAGCACATTCCCACCAGTGTGTGAATGGGTGAAAGTCTGATTGTGTTGTGAAGTGCCGTGGGAGGTTGTAGAACCTTAAGAAAGCGCTATACAAGTAAAGGCCATTTACTCAGCACAGGTCTAGTTTCTCTCTGTGAGGCTGCACGACCCTCTGTAGCAGGTCTTGGTGTCACGGCAGACACCGTTGCGAGTGTACACACACCACACGTATGCATCTCAATCCTCACTCTTTGGTCTATGAGCAATTGCAGCATTATTTTCACAAAAAATTGTCTCTCATTACTTCACCACTTCAGAGACATGATTTGAAGCATGGAAGTAGCAGGCGAAACTGAGTCATGGATGTGCTTTGTACACATCTCAGTATTAGAGCCTGTGTTTGGTGCAGTGAAATGACTCCTCTACTAAAGCTGGACATTTTTTCCAGCATCATATGTAATTTTCTGCTCTTTAACCCAGTTTGTTTTCCAGTAATCATCATTTGAGACAATATTACAGGTTATTTATATCACACAAGGGCCACAAGTTCACGGTCAATGGCAGCAGAGTGGCATGGACTGATTTATGGTTATGGCCAATTAGATTGGCCAAATGGGGCAGATTTATGGCCAAGTCAGCTGTTTGTCTTTTCCTGTCTACTGCGATCACACTCGTGTCCTTCCTCCCGTCGACCCTGATGAATTCATGAGTCTATTATATCTTTGTAATGTCAACTGGTTTAACTAAACCTTGTTGCTTAAATATAAAGAGTAATATACATTTACTTTTAACATAGAAGGAAGAAGAAACTAAGTTTTTATACAGCGTCTCTAAATAAAAACCACAGAGCGCATCACAAGAACAAAAATTTTGAAAATAAAATGGTTAAAAAAATATGCATAAAAATTATTTTAAAATGTAAGAAAATAATGGGGGAAATGGAAGATGGCGCATAACAATGTGTATTACGCTTTAAATTTAAAGGTGCTTAGGGTAGGAAACAAATCCTGTTGTCAAATTTGGGTATTGAAGTCAATGTGTAAAAACGCTATTCTTCTCTAAGCAACTGTTGCCAGTTACAGCCAGATTATCATTGCAGCCCCCCCCCCCCCCCCCACACACACACACCACCCGGCCTCCCCCAACATTGCTGCCACCCAGAAGCACTTTTTAGACATTTCATAACATTGTTAATATTAAAACTCGCTTACTTATGTTGATACAAGGGTTAAATATCTTGTCTCCTGTCTTCTTCCTCCTCTTGTCTCCTGTTTCCTTCCTCCTCTTGTCTCCTTCCTCCTCTTGTCTCCTGTCTCCTTCCTCCTCTTGTCTCCTGTCTCCTTCCTCCTCTTGTCTCCTGTTTCCTTCCTCCTCTGGTCTTCTGTCTCCTTCCTTCTCTTGTCTCCTGTTTCCTTCCTTTTCTTGTCTCCTGTTTCCTATCTCCTCTTGTCTCCTGTCTCCTTCCTCCTCTTGTCTCATGTCTCCTTACTCTTGTCTCCCGTTTCTTTCCTCGTCTTGTCTTCTGTCTCCTTCCTCCCCTTGTCTCCTGTTTCCTTCCTCCCCTTGTCTCCTTTTTCCTTCCTCCTCTTGTCTCCTGTCTCCTTCCTCCTCTTGTCTCCTGTTTCCTTCCTCGTCTTGTCTCCTGTTTCCTTCCTCGTCTTGTTTCCTGTTTCCTTCCTCGTCTTGTCTCCCTTCTCCTTCCTCGTCTTGTCTCCCGTCTCCTTCCTCCTCTTGTCTCCTGTCTCCTTCCTCCTCTTGTCTCCTGTCTCCTTCCTCCTCTTGTCTCATGCCTCCTTCCTTCTCTTGTCTCCTGTCTCCTTCCTCCTCTTGTCTCATGCCTCCTTCCTTCTCTTGTCTTATGTCTCCTTCCTCCTCTTGTCTCATGCCTCCTTCCTTCTCTTGTCTTCTGTCTCCTTCCTCCTCTTGTCTCTTGTCTCCTGTTTCCTTCCTCCTCTTGTCTCCTGTTTCCTTCCTCCTCTTGTCTCCTGCTTCCTTCCTCATCTTATCTCCTGTCTCCTTCCTCCTCTTGACTCCTGGCTCCTTCCTCTTTTTGTTTCCTTGTTGGTCTCCTCTCGCCTTCAGAAAAACTGCTTTCTGGCCTTTATATTAGTAAATTAATTTACAATGTCATCAAAGTCCAGATTCCTGACAAGCTGAGATTCAATTGCCATCAGTGATGGTGCATTGAGGCGCTGTTGAGTTTGTGTTGTTCTCAGTTCATTTTTTATTCTTGCCATTTGTGAAAATCATTCCCCTTCACAATTTGTAACTGGTGGCAGGCATGTTGCAAGCTTTTCAAAAGTGTGGGGGATGTTGTCTGTGCCTAAAATAATTTTATGTTATTCATCTTGTTAGTTTAATTTCCATAATAGCTGAGCAGGTGTGAATTTTAGACGCGTCACGCATGTCTCCGTTTTAAACATGTTTAAACTGTTCAGAATACAAATCCGGGCTCTGTCTCATTAGATTGGTGCAACTAAAGTTTGTACTCAATGAAATTTTTACATTCAACCATGGTGAAAAGGTAAGAAAAAGATCCGATTAAATCGTTTTCCCCCCTCATTTACAGTCACGGAGTACAGCGCAGTGCGCATGGCTCTGGGGTTAATCAAGTTTAATAGTTTCTCTTTGAAAAAATCTTCACAAGAAGGCAAAACTGTTAAATGGCAGGTTACAGATATTTCCATTTGACTGTTTATTTTGACGGATAAACTCAAAAATGTTGGTTGTTATGAAAGAATTACCTCAATGCACACTGATGCGCACACAGATGAGCTGACATTTTAATCGTTACGCACATCTCGGGGGTAACTAAATAAATCAAGAAAAGATTCTCATCAGAACTTCAGTGCTTTACACTGGACACTGCTCAGCGCGGCTGGGAGCGAACACGGACAATGAGCTGAAGATCTGTAGAGGGGTTTGTAGTGCAGCGCAGAACCACAGTGATGCGGTAAGATTTCCTTCCACTGAAGCGGTCTGGAAATGCTGTCTCTCTGAGGGATGTGTCACCTGGAAAAATGTTCTCTGATTATGAAATTTTGGCTGAATAGCGCTTGTTCCCGTCTCCAATATGGGCACGCATGACACATCCAGTCTGTCTGAGGCAGAATAACCTCTTCAGCTCAGAAAGCACCTGTTGAGACATTTGATCATGCACAAAGTTTATGTGGAGCAGAAGCAGTCGGGCCACGGCAGGTGAAATGTTCCTAGCCTACATGAAGTGAAACTGTTTAGTTGTAACATTAATATGTTACTGGACACACTGGTCTGGTTGGTTAGACCAGTGTTTGAAGTGGAAAACACACACACACCAATTAAAATAATGGTGATAGCGTGGACTAGAAGCCAGGTGATGGTTTATGTATTTAAATGATGATCAGACTGCTGTAAAATGTAATCTGTTGCAACAAACAGACACCAGAAGTGAGGAACAGAAAATTAAATGACCCTTTCAATGTTTAGAGCAGCAGGAACTCTGAGAGGCTGCAGGCGCATCAGTGAGTTTGCGGCCGCTGTGCAGGGGGAGAGTGCTGAAGCAGGAACAGTTAAGATGCAAAAACTACCGTTGTTAAAATAAATTGTGTTAACTTAGAAAATGTGGGCGCAATTTTCATTACTTGTCAACATTTTTCTCCAACGTTAAGACTGCTGCACAAGAAAAAAAAAAGACTGCTGCTTGCGTGGGCCCTTTGTAGCTGTGGGCCCCTGGGCCTGTGCCCAGTTTGCCCATAATCCGGCCTTGCAGATCAGCACTAGAAGATTCTAGATGAGCAGAGACTAGTCATACACATTGGCTTGATAAGTAGATAAAAACATTTCACTATAACATTGAGTTGCTGGTAAGTTGTTGCTGGAATTGCTGGGAAAAAGTTGCTTGAGTAGCCAGCAATTTTTTTCTAGTTCACTGTTAGCATTGTTAGCTCAATGTTAGCCTCTAGCCTACTTCACCCGATAATAGAGTAAAACAATAAGAATACCATGCCTTTGTAGGTTTACAAAAAATAGCTTCTGGGCCCCTCCTTTGATTGGCCAACGTTCTTTCCACAATGCTGCCGCCTTTTCCTGGCTGGTGTCAAATTACAGATGCTAAAACTGGCTCTCGGAGCAGGAAGTATGGAGGCGGGACAGAAGGTAAAAAAAAATATAAAGGCTACATTTCTCTTCAGCTCTTGTTAGAAAAACTGGCAACCACCAGTCGATGAGAAGGACATCTATTTCAATGTAACCTTCCTTCCAACTGGATAGAGTCATTAGAAGGTTAAGTGGTTATTTCACCATAAACTTCTTACTTATTGCACCTTTAAACAACCAAAACCAGTTGACATAACTTGGTTAAGGGACTTTCACATTTAAATTCATATGTGTAATATCACACCAGGACCATCAGTTCTTTATTTTTAGTTTCTGAGTCAACTGTCAAATAATTTCCAAGATAAGTTATTAAAATTTGATGTCATCTCGATGATATATGTAGCTACTGAATGAAATTACTTTAAAACACCAAGAACAGCCCTTTATATCTTGTGGCCTGTCTGCGCTTGGCTATAAATGGCTGGCGGCCAGCTCCAGGCAGCCCCTCTGCTCGAAGGTTTATCTTCTTTGGAACATAATTTGTTTCATTGTAGCAGTGGCTTTATTAAATGCCCACATTATGACCGTAGGGCTGCGGACTGATTGGTAAGTGCAAGCAACCAGATAAGGAAAGAGAGGCAGAGCTTGTGCACAATGTGTGTGAGGGAAGAGCGTGTGTGGGCGTTTGTTAGATAGAGAGAAAGTCTGTGCAGTGGATTGGGGTCATGTTGCTCCTGAGAGTCAAATAAATTAACAAGAACCTTCAGGAAATTAACATAGGGATGTGTGCGTGCCCACATGCATGCACTTGCATGATGCATCATGTCTGTTTCAGTGTCTCTGTCGGTCCCATCGGGCTCCATAATTAACAGACATGCTGTGCCAATGGAGGTCAAGGTCATGGCTGTTATTAGTACCAGACAAGAGCATCATTCTGTCCTCTGATGGAGGCCAGTGAGCTTGTACTACCGCTGCAAGCTCCATTAACTGCCCTTGGAGCCATTTTTTGTCCTCATGTATGCTCACATCAGGCATCATGTCCCCATGGCCTGTTGACCATGACGTTTAACTATCATCACATTCAGCTGGATTTTTATTTAATTAAATTTTCTGTGAGATACAAGCATTATTTCATAAGGAATATTTGTCCAATCATTCCACATAACTTATTTTTAATTGTTTTTAAATGAAATTTCATTAAATGGCCAGTTTTGCTTATGACCCCTGTCATATACTGTAAAATCTGATTAGTTCACCTTACTTGGAAAAATCAGAGACCGTTAATAAAAGAAGTACATGGAAGTATGTTTTGGAGCTACAACTAAGACAAATTATACATAGAACTTGGAAAAAATGCTTACTGAACATGTATTTCTGAGTTGTATAAGCAGTGGTAAACAGGAGGCAAATGTACCTTTGGCATATAGCATTTAAGCACATTTCATTTTGTATTAGTAGCTGCAACACATATCTAGATAGACTACTTGTTTTTTTTAGTTGTATTATTGGTAATAAAAACAAACTCCAGAAAACACTTAAACTAAAATATAATAGCCCTTGTAGCGGGATAATTTTTTAACTCATGTTTTACCTGCGAAACGGTGACATAATTCTAAATGTGCCATTTAAAAATTCTTGGAATTTTTTTAAGCCAAATATTTTCCAATCCATCTTCTGTTGTATTTGTGCATCGTGGAATGAGCAGCTTAGCTAAACATGCGAGTGCCTCCAAAAAGGGGGCAAAGCATCCTTCAATATTCTCCTCTTGGTATTCACTTGTTTTGAGCTCTGCTAGGCGAGTCACCAACTGACCCCTGACAGCTTTGGACAGTTCCTCAGGACAATAGGACTTGGTCACTGGCATGAAAAGGAGGGCCGTTCTGTTGTGGCTGTGTATCTATATCTTTACCACTGACCCAGCCATGCAGTGTAATAAGGAATAAAGTGTTAAAAAAAAGCCAAATTGTTTTTTTCTCTTTCTTTGCTTCTTACTATGAAAAGGTGCAAGCATCCAATCCAGCATCTCAAAACAAGAAACATGGGAGTATTTTAGGAGATTTTGAGGGATCAGGCTATCCAACAACATAACATTTCTCCTACACCAGCTGGTATTATTAAAGGTGACAGATGATTGACTGAAATGATAATTTAAAACTTTTTGGGATTGATTTTTAGTTTAATTCATCAATAACCAACACATCGTTTATTATGGATCACATTTTAAGCTGATCAACTCATGCAATGAAAACAAAAACTGTTGGTTAAACAAACAAGCCGTTAGCAGATTTATCTAATCCTTGACGCCTATTTAAGGCGCGAGCTCGGTGAACATCTGCGCACAGACTGACCGCGCGCGCTTTCTGTGCCCCCGTTTCCTTGCGCACATTCACTCCGGTCATTCCTTAGCGATGTATCTCATCTTTTAACTAAAAAGTAGGACAGAAACCTGGAAGGCAACAGTGGAGGACTGGGATTGAAGGATGAAGGGCAAATGAGAAAACAGCTGACTGTCTGACAGACAGAGGAGAGGAGCGCTGTCGCAGAGGAGGAGGAGAGGAGCGAGGGAAGCAGGCGCAGCTCTCCAGATTCCGCTCCGACGAGAGGGAGAAAAAGCACGCATGATGTCGACCTTCATACCGGCTGAGAGGAATTATTGAGGTGCGCCAAGACGACCATGTTGGACCAGCGTATTGTCCACGCATTTCCAATTTTGCTGGCGTCTACTCTTAAATAGTTGCGCCCATTTGCCCCTCCAGATTGCAGAAGAAGCAGATATCTAAAAATCTCATCTTCTGCATCACCGGGGACATCTTTTGGGGGAGTTCTTGCATCCCTGGGAGCAAAGCAGATTGCGGGTGAAAGGAGGAACACCTCTGCCTTCTCCACCTCCCTCTTACATAAACGTTTGCGTGCCGTTAGTGTTCCCGTTCTCCCTCGACCCGTTTGCTGAGCCTCACGTGCATCTCATGCAGACACAGACAGACGTGGACATTATTCCACGCGCGCTCAGCCACACAGCCCACATGCGCTCATAATCAAACGGACAAGCCTCACCCCTGTCACCCATCTAACCCCCACCCCCACCCCCTCACTGTCTGATGAGTCCCCGGCGCGCAGGTGGACGTGCGCCTTCTGTAGCATCATCTTCCTCAGAAGTACCGCTGTCATCTTCATCACCATCACCATCCTCCTCTTCCTCAACGCCACCATGTCCTCGTCGCGCAAGATTTCATCCGAGTCATTCAGCAGTTCGGTGGGCTCTGATTGTGGGCTCGAGAGCTCCGGGGGAGACGGAGGGGATTGTATTCTGGAGCCGGCGGAGGAGAGCCGAGGTTGCCCCTTTTCCTCCTTCCCGTCGTCCCACAGAGCGGCTCTCTGGAACGGCCGCAGCCCCGGAGAGAGGCCGGTGTGCCCGTCGGGCGAGGAGAAGCAAGGACCCTGCGTGCCACACAAGAGGGCAACCAGGAGGAGACGGGTGAACCTCGACTCGCTGGGGGAGAGCCTGAGGAGACTCACCTCACCCACGGTAGGAGTCCCACTCCCCCAACTCTCGTCTGAATAAAGTTGCACCATCTTTTATTAACACTTTATGCAGCATCATGTTTGCATTTCTGCAGGAATCTCATGCAAGCTGTTCAAAGATTTGTGTTAAAGTTCAGAAAGGAAGCAGCGTGTTTTTTTCTGTTCCTGTTCTGGATAAATTATTACCACCATAACATGATGTCCTGCTGCTATCTAAGAACTAAACCCATTTCCTCCCTTCTGCTCTAAACCTGAATCATCTGGTAGATTATATAATATGTTGTTGTGAGGCAGAACAAGAAATGCCCTTGCCTTGTCTGCATATATAACTGTGTGTGGTGTGCTGTGTGTGTGTAGTGTGTGTCACTTCTATTTTATAGCTGCTGAATTAAGCAATAAACTCAGATTTATACAACATGTACATCTTAGCCAACTTTATGACTAAAACACTTGCATTATTTTAAATCAATGCCATAATTGTTACAAAATGAACATTAGAGTGTAATCCACCATACCATACCACATCATACCACACCACACCACACCACATCATATCATAAAACACCACATCATACAACACCACACCAAACCATACCACACCATACCACATCATACCACCACACTGTCCCATATCATACCATAAAACACCACATCATACCACACAACCACATCATACCACACAACAACACACCATAAAATACCACATCATACCACACGACCACATCATATCACACCACACCACACCATAAAATACCACATCATACCACACCACACCATACCACATCATACCACCACACTGTACCACATCATACCATAAAACACCACATCATACCACACGACCACACCATACCACACCGTACCACATCATAAAACACCACATCATACCACACGACCACACCATACCACACCGTACCACATCATACATCACCACATCATACCACATGGCCACATCATACCACACCACACCACATTATACCACACTGTACCACATCATACCACACCCTACCGAACCACACCAAGCCACACCAAACCACACCACAGTACACCACACCGTACCACATCTTACAACACCACATCATACCACACCAGTCCACATCTTACCACACCAAACCAAACCACACCACGCCATAAAACACCACATGATACCACATGACCAAATCATTCCACATCATGCCACACCACACCACACCACACCTCACCTCACCACACCACACCACACCATATCACACCACACCACACCAAACCAACCCACACCAAACCACATCACATCACATCATACCATACCACATCACACCACACCACACCACACCATACCAGACCACACCATGAAACACCACATCATACCACACAACTACATCATACCACACCACACCACACCACACCAAACCACACCACATCATAACACACAACCACATCGTACCACACCAAACCACATCACATCATACCACACCACACCACACCAAGCCACACCACATCATAACACAGGACCACATCATACCACACCACACCACACCAAGCCACACCACATCATAACACAGGACCACATCATACCACACCACACCACACCAAACCACACCACATCATAACACACAACCACATCATACCACACCAAACCACATCACATCATACCCCACCACACCACAAAACACCACATCATACCACACGACTACATCATACCACACCACACCACACCAAGCCAAACCACATCATAACACACGACCACATCATACCACACCAAACCACAGCATACCACACCATACCACACCATACCACATCATAAAATACCACATCATACCACACGACCACATCATACCACACCACACCACACCATACCACATCATACCACCACACTGTACCACATTATACCACACGAACACACCATACCACACCGTACCACATCATACAACACCACATCATACCACATGACCACATCATACCACACCACACCACACCACACCACAGTATACCACACTGTACCACATCATACCACACCATACCACACCACATCATACAACACCATACCACACCACACCAAGCCACACCAAACCACACCACAGTATACCACACCGTACCACATCTTACAACACCACATCATACCACACCACACCACATCATACCACACCAGTCCACATCTTACCACACCAAACCAAACCAAACCAAACCACACCACTCCATAAAACACCACATCATACCACATGACCACATCATACCACACCACAACACACCAAACCACACCACATCATAACACATGACCACATCATACCACATCATACCACACCAAACCACACCAAACCAAACCACATCACATCATACCACACCACACCACACCATAAAACACCACATCATACCACACAACTACATCATACCACACCACAACACACCAAACCACACCACATCATAACACATGACCACATCATACCACATCATACCACACCAAACCACATCACATCATACCACACCACACCATAAAACACCACATCATACCACACTACACCACACCAAGCCACACCACATCATAACACACAACCACATCATACCACACCACACCACACCAAACCACACCACACCATATCACACCACACCAAACCAACTCACACCAAATCACATCACATCATACCACACCACACCACACCACACCATAAAACACCACATCATACCACACAACTACATCATACCATACCACACCAAACCACACCACATCATAACACATCATACCACATCATACCACATCATACCACACCAAACCACACCAAACCAAACCACACCACACCATACCACACGACCACATCATACCAAATCACACTACATCATACCATACCGTACCATTTTTTATTGTAAAATCAATTTTAAATGTAACACCAAGGATGCACAAAGTGCTGTACCTACACTTTCAAAACTTTCAGGACCTTAAGTAATAATTGATCAGTTCATCTCAGTCAACTCTGAGTGTATGGCTGAATGATGTCCGACAGATAGCATGGGGCCGTAGACTGTCAAGTTTTAAGCACAAGTAAAATGAAGTTAAATTTGATCTTGAACAAGAATTGCAGCCAGTACAAAGATGTTAGAACTGATGTGATGTGGTCCAATCTACATGCCCCAGTCAATAAACGCGTTGCAGCATTTTGCAACAGTTGCAAGCGCCCCAATTACAGTAGTCCAGTCTGAATTACAAAGACATGGACTACAATTTGCGGGCCCCATTAAGAGATGATCCGTTTTACTTTGGCTATACACCTCAACTGGGAGAAACAAATGTTTTTTTAAATATTCAGTTATGATATAATTTGCAACATAAGTTTCTTTTAGAAGTCTTTAATTATAATCTCATAATTTCAGTGTTCTCTGAATGAACATAGATGTTTTACTAATATCTCATCAGCCGGATAAATATCCGCCCTTCTCATCTGTGATTTACCAAAGCAGGACAATTCATTATTCATAAGCTTTTTGTGACAGCTCCTGGTTTAATCAGAGCTGGCAGGGCTCCATTTTGCTGCTCTGGATTGAAACTGAAGTGAGTGACACAGGCCGTTTATTGCAAGCTGCATGACACGAAATATGGAGTCCTTAATCTGACAATTGTTCCATTTGTAAGTCTTAAGAAGTTAAGGAGAGGAAATGCATCTGTGATTTATGTTTGGAAAATGAAAAATAAACCAGAGGTGCAGCCATACAGATACATTCTAACTCTCAGATGGGGAGAAAAGTTTTATGCACAGTCTTATATGATTTGCACAATCTTGCACTCCACTTCTGACAAATCACATTAAAGCTCAACATCTGTAAAACTGACTGGGTTAATTCCATTTTTTGTGTTTTCTAAAATCCTATAGTTGTGGCAGCCATCTTGAATCTTGAATGAGTCCTGTGAACCAGTTGTAAATCTCAACATCTGATAATTACTTTCTGAGAATCTCATTAATATCCATCTTGTGGTTCATGGGATAATTACCTAATGAACACACTATCAGCACAGGGCAATAAAAATAGGGAGAGGGGACCACTCAAATATAAATTAGCACCACACTCAATGATAGCAAAATTGGCCATTTATGAGTGGGCAACATTATTGAATTACAATTTTGAAGTTTTGTGTGTGTGAGCGTTTTTTTTTCTTTTTACTTTTTAGTTTTGCTTTTTGTGTGTTTTTAACATGTAAAGGCCAACGCTTTGGTCACGGACATATAAATGTCCAACAATGTCCCTTTGGATGTTTCAGCCATGTTCCACACAGGAAGTCTGACCTAAAAGGTAATGAACGTTCACATTGATTAGTGAGTAATTGGACCATAATCTTGTAAAGTACCACACAAAGTTACATAAAATGAGTGTTCTGTTTCCAAACATCACTCTGGTTAACTATTCTTGCAGCTGGTTCTGTGCAGAGTCACTGATGGTATGCTTCATTCTCTTTCTTCTTCACCTTGGCCACAATGACACTCCTCTCCCTCCGCCAAACACACACACACACACACACACACACACACACACACACACACACACACACACACACACACACACACACACACACACACACACACACACACACACACACACACACACACACACACAGTTCAGTCCCAAAGATCAGTTCTCATTCACTCCTCTTGAGTTTTAATGAATGTGGGCGAGCCTGTAGTGATGATTAAACATTTTTGGGGGATTTTATTTAAAAAGTCCCCCCCATGTTTGCTATCCATGTCAAAATCATTAAAATGTTGGAGTGGGTCTCCACTGCCTCTACGAACACCCCAAATGTAAATAAAAACATCCATCTATTTGCTTTCAGTATTTGGTGTTAGAAATCATGTAGCTAAAACCAGTTGTTTGAAAACCTCCCAGGTTGTGATGTCACAACAAAGAAAATTTGTATCCAACCCAAGCCTCTCCCAGATATCAGAGCTTCTCAGCTCATAGCAGCCTGAAGCGATGAGGGGTGGGCGTTTTCAGCTTGTGTTCCTTAAAGTGACAGATCCCTGAAACAACTCATTCTAGAAGGTA